CCCGCGTCTGCTTGTCTGCTTCTTTTTTATTTTTATTATACATATATTTCCCTGGCTCTCTGTAAAATGCAAAAGTTTTCGCGTAAACGATCGGGCCGGCCGACGCGCGCCTCTCTCCCTCCTCTCTCCTCCTTTCACGCCACTGTGGCTTTCTCGCTCGCACTCAGGGAGCAGCGAGGCAGCGGTACGGTAGGGCGCACAGTGGGCCAGAAGACCGGTGGAGGCGGACAAAACTCTAGACGCGTTTTGAGCTCCAGAGTCGCTAAACGGGACTCGAACCGGACGTGTGACCCCACCAATGGATTGCTCTCCGAACGAGGGATCCACTGGTGGGGTCACACGTTCGGTTCGAGTCCCACTTAGCGACTCTGGAGCTCAAAACGCGTCTAGAGTTTGGGCCGCCTCCACCGGGCTTCTGGCCCACTGTGGGGCGGCCTTGGAAGGCCTTGACGGTCCAGTCGCGCGATTCAGAATGGGCGCTGCCTCGCTCTGTCTCTGTCGCACTCATGGGGCTGTCCGTGAGGGTGCGAGAGAGACAAACCGATCTCGTGGCGTGGGAGTTCGAATCCAGGCTCTGCACACGGGAAAAGCGTGTCAGGGCAATTTGAGTCATTGTGGCACTGTGAAATCCCGGCGCACGCTACCCGGCTCTGTGGGCTGCAGGGGGCGACTCCGTGCCGTGTTTTTGTCGCTCTGTCTCTCTCGCACCTCCGCGGAACGCCCCAAAGCAAGAGAGACAGAGCGATCCTGCTGCCAGCCACGGCGTGCACGGCGGGCCCCTCCCCTGCCCAGGTCTAAATATGACTGTTTTTCTTGACTGCGGCGTCGCTGCGCCGCCGAGCTGCGCGTCCTGCCGCCCAGCGTTGCCACGCAAGTGGGCCCAAATTCCCTCGATGCGCCACAGTGGGCCAGAAGACCGGTGGAGGCGGCCAAAACTCTAGACGCGTTTTGAGCTCCAGAGTCGCTAAACAGGCCTAGAACCGAGCGTGTGACCCCACCAATGGATTGCTCTCCGAACGAGCAATCCATTGGTGGGGTCACACGTTCGGTTCGAGTCGCATTTAGCGACTCGGAGCTGAAAACGCGTCCGGGGTTTTAGCCGCCTCCACCGGTCTTCTGGCCCACTGTGCAGAGGTTGGCAACCCTTCGGACACTGGTGCATCGCGGCAAGTTTTGCCCGTACCGACTGCCGCACCTTCCACGGCGCGCCCCATGTCGCCCATGTCGTCCCGGCAGTCCGCGGGCGATTTGCCAAATTGGGAGGAAGCGCAGGGAAACGGCAGTGTCGCTGTTTTTACGGGTGTATTGGAAGGTCCACGGTGCACCGCGTTGCGCACGACGCAGTGCAACGCAGTGCAACGCAGTGCGACGACGTGATGTGACGTCTCCGTCTCTCTCGCACTCACGGCGCGTCGCGTGGGGGTGCGAGAGAGACGGAGCGAGGGCAGTGTGCAGTGCAAGCCGGTCGGTCGGGGTTCGCAATTGTGCATGCAGTGTATCGGAGGCACGAAAAGACGATTGTCTCTTCGCCGGTCTTTTCCGCGCCGTTAACCTTCCCCCTTCCTCTATTTCCCCTTCCCCTTTCCCCTCCCCCTCCCCCCTTCCCCTTCCCCCTTACCCCCTTCCTTTCTTCTCCTTCCCCCTTCCCCCTCCCCCGTCCCTCTTCCCCTTCCCCCTTACCCCCTTCCCTTCTTCTCCTTCTCCCTTCCCCCTTCCCCCTTCCTCTCTTCCCCTTCCCCCTTACCCCCTTCCTTCTTCTCCTTCTCCTTCCCTTTCCCCTTCCTCTCTTCCCCTTCCCCCTTCCCCCCTTCCTTCTCCCTCCTTCCCCCTTCCCTTCCTCTTCCCTTCCCCTTACCCCCTTCCTTTCTTCCCTTCTCCCTCCCCTTCCCTTCCCGTCTCTTCCCCATCCCTACTCTTCCTCCCCCCCTCCCCTCCCCATCGCTCGGCGCGTTCTATGCAATTAGTCGCCCCGCTGATAGGCGCGCGGTCCGCGAAGAAAAGGGAAGGGGAAGAGAGTGCCCTCGGCTGCTCAAGGCGTGCCTCAAGGCGTGCCTCAAGGTGCCCCACCCCTAACCTTTTCGAGCGCGCCGGGCCCTTTGTCCGACTGCGTGACTCGGCCATGGTGAATGCCGCCCACCATGGTGAGTAATGGTATGGTGAACCATGGCACAGTCGGCCAGAAGACCGGTGGAGGCGGCCAAAACTCAAGACGCGTTTTGAGCTCCAGAGTCGCTAATCGGGACGCGACGCGAACCGAGCGTGTGACCCCACCAATGGATTCCTCGTTCGGAGAGTAATCCATTGGTGAGGTCACACGTTCGGTTCGAGTCCTGTTCAGCGACTCTGGAGCTCAAAACGCGTCCGGAGTTTTTGCCGCCGCCACCGGTCTTCTGGCCCACTGTGCGTGGTGCCGTCTAGGGCGACTGGGCGACGCAGCGACCCCCATTGCCTTGTCGACAGATCATTAAAATATCGCAGCCCTGCATATGGTGGGCAAGTTAGGAAGTAGGGCGGAGTGCGGGAGCCGCGTGGGTCGTTTGGGGAGGAGGAGAAGGAAGGGGGTCTTGGAGGAGGCCTCGCGTTGCACTCTAGACTGAGAGTCGTTTTCGTCGCTCTGTCTCTCTCGCACCTACAAGGACGCCGCTTGAGTGCGGGAGAGACAGAGCGACAGGGACGACTTTCGGAATCCGGTTGCAGCCCCCACCCCCGACGGGGTCCCCGTCTTGGGTCCCCGATGTGGATTCGCAAGTTGGCACTTGATTGCCCGCGATCCCCTGTCCTGTTAGACAAGTTGTTCGCCGCTCGGCACACTCGAGACTCGGGGCGCTGGCAGCGCTCGCTCGATGCACTCCTGCAGAGCGTTTCCGAACCCCCGCACAGTGGGCCAGAAGACCGGTGGAGGCGGTCGAAATCCCGGACGCGTTTTGAGCTCCAGAGTCGCTAAATGGGACTCGAACCGAACGTGTGACCCCACCAATGGATTGCTCTTCGAACGACGAATCCATTGGCGGGGTCACTCGCTCGATTCTAGTCCCATTTAGCGACTCTGGAGCTCAAAACGCGTCTGGAGTTTGGGCCGCCGGCGCCGGTCTTCTGGCCCACTGTGCCTCGTCTCTGTCTCTCTCGCACTCATGGGGCGCCCCGTGTGGGTGCGAGAGAGACAGAGCGACGAGAGAGAAGGGCCGTTCAGTCTGCTAGCTTCGAGTGCACTCCGAGGCGGCCCACCCGCCTCCCCCACTAGACGAGTCTGCATAACCACGACGCCATGCAAGGCAATGCAGGGCATGATGACGAGCAGGGTGCAAGGCAAAGCAAGAGTCTCAAAGTGCTTACTCGTCGCCAGGCGTCTTCGGAATAATTTTCCACCTCCAAAGAAAACGTCTATATTTCCCTTTTTTGTCGGTTTTATGGCGCGAGCGGTGCATTGGGCCATTTATCCGTTTGGCGTCCGTGTCGAGGCCCTCCATGGCCTCCACAGTGGGCTAGAAGACCGGTGGAGGCGGCCGAAACCCTTGACGCGTTTTGAGCTGCAGAGTTGCTAAACAGGAGTCGAACCGAACGTGTGACCTCGTTCGGAGAGCAATCCATTGGTGGGGTCAAACGTTCGGTTCGAGTCCCATTTAGCGACTCTGGAGCTCAAAACGCGTCTGGAGCTTTGGCCTCCTCCACCGGTCTTCTGGCCCACTGTGCACGGTCCCACGGCGGGGGCGGCAGTGCGGGCTAAACCCGCCGTTAGATTGATGCACTGCTGCAGGCCCTCCTGGCCGCTCAGCGTCCCATCGCTCTGTCTCTCTCGCACCCATTCGGGACGCCCTATCGTGCGAGAGAGAGAGAGAGAGAGAGAGAGAGAGAGAGAGAGAGAGAGAGAGAGAGAGAGAGAGAGAGAGAGAGAGAGAGAGATGCCTCTCTCGGAATCAGTCTGCAGCAGCACGGCCTCGGCCCAGCGCCTCTGTCAACCTCTATCTTTCCCTGTAATCCCTCAGCGGCCCAACAACAGCCCGGGTCGTTTCGTCTGCGTCTCTGTCGCACTCATGGGGCGTCCGGTAGGGGTGCGAGAGAGACAGCGCGACGAAAGCAGTCTTCGGCATCAGCCCTCCGGGCCGGGCAGGCCGGGCAGGCAAGCCCGCAGTACGTTGCCTGAATCAATGGGGGGAGGGGGGGGGCACTGCATTGGGAAAAGCGCTGACGGTGTCGTCGGCGTCGTCCGAGTTTTTCAACAGACTGGGCTGGGGGCTGGCGGGCTGGCGGGCTGGGGCTGGGGCTGGGCTGGGGCTGGCGGGGCTGGCGGGGCTGGCGGGCTGGCGGGCTGGCGGGGCTGGCGGGGCTGGCAGGGCTGGCGGGGCTGGCAGGCAGGGCACCAAATAAGGAATAGGGGCACGGTGATGGAGAGCCGCCCCAAACACTCGGAGAAACGACGGGAGAAGAGTACCTTGGGGAGGCAGGGAGTGCCAACAACTGCAGCTCGGGCCATTGAGAGTCCTGGAGTCCTGCTTACATCACTTGCGCCTCCAGCCTCGCGAAGCCTTTTTGTGACTTTTCGTTGCGGCGTGTGAGGATTTTCGATGAAGGCGCAACGGCCGAAAAAATTTGCTGTCGTACCGTGACATAATGATGAATGGACTTCATTTTTGTCACTAGTCAATTATGGCAATGCCATCGCAAATTGATCGAAGCTCTTAAACTAATTGCATGATGCTCGGCTTGATGGGTTGGCAACGGATAGTGGGCCAGAAGACCGGTGGGGGTGGCCAAAATTCAAGACGCGTTTTGAGCTCCGGAGTCGCTAAATGGGACTCGAACCGAACGTGTGACCCCACTAATGGATTGCTCTCCGAACGAGGAATCGAGTGGGTGGAGTCACACGTACGGTTCGAGTCCTGTTCAGCGACGCTGTCAACACTGTCATCCACGGCTTCACAAGGAAAATTAGCCTTCAAATTGTCAAACACACCGGAAATTTTGAGAGTGCGCGTCACTAACGTGGCTTGTTGTTCCTGCAGCTTCCTTCTACGGCGCCAGCTTCATCAAGTACCCGCTGCAAGATGCCAAGAACACGACCGAGATCTCGTTCCAGTTCCGGACCAAGCGCGCCGACACCATGCTGTTCCTCGCCGCCGGCAAGACGGACTACTGCTACATCCGCCTGGAGACGGGCCGCCTCAAGGTGCGTGGCGTGTCACAGTGGGCCAGAAGACCGGTGGAGCCGGCCAAAACTCCAGACGCGTTTTGAGCTCCAGAGTCGCTAAATGAGACTCGAACCGAACGTGTGACCCCACCAATGGATTCCTCATTCGGAGAGGAATCCGTTGGTGGGGTCACACGCTCGGTTCGAGTCTCATTTAGCGACTCTGGAGCTCCAAACGCGTCTAGATTGGATTCCAGGGCCCCCTTGGATTTCAAGGCGGTACTTTGACCGTGATGGACTTTGCTCCCCTGTGTGCGCAGGTCCGCGTCAACCTGGGTGCGGGCGAGGCGGAGGTGGACTCTCCGCGCGGCCTGCGCCTCGACGACCTGGTGTGGCACGACGTGGAGGTGACGCGCAGGGAGGCCGACGTCACCATCACCATCGACCACATCCACGTCATCAAGTACGCCTCCCTCACAGTACGCTTGCCGTACTCGCGGCCCACAGTGGGCCAGAAAACCGGTGCCGGCGGCCCTAACTCTAGACGCGTTTTGAGCTCCAGTGTCGCTAAATGGGACTCGGAGCGAACGTGTGACCCCACCAATGGATTCCTCGTTCGGAGAGCAATCCATTGGTGGGGTCACACGTTCGCTTCGAGTCCCGTTTAGCGACTCTGGAGCTCAAAACGCGTCTGGAGTTTTGGCCGCCTCTGCCGGTCTTCTGGCAAGTCCACCGTGCGGCGTGGATGTGTGTGACGGTGGTCTCGGTGTCCAGGGAGAAGCTGCCGGGCCGCTTCTTCGAGCTCAACATCCACTACGGCGTGTACCTGGGCGGCATGGGCGACTTCACGGACCTGTTCCTGGGCCACACGGACTGGCTGAGGGGCTGCCTGGCCGACGTCAAGTACAACGGCAACAGCCTGCTGCAGAAAGCGCGCCAGCGGTCCACCTCGCAGGTAAGGATGCGCAGTGGTCCAAACTCTAGACGCGTTTTGAGCTCCAGAGTCGCTGAACAGGACTCGAACCGAGCGTGTGACCCCACCAATGGATTTCTCGTTCGAAGAGCAATCCATTGGTGGGGTCACACGTTCAGTTCGAGTCCCATTTAGCGGCTCTGGAGCTCAAAACCCGTCAGGGATTTTCTAGCCCACTATGGGATGGCTGGTAAGCGTGGCTGAGGTCATAAAAGCTTCGCATCTTACACCGCGGACCCGAGTTCAAATCTCGCGATTCTTCGCTGCCATATTTTGAGTGCTTTTCCGTGTTGCAGAAGGTGGAGGTGCAGGTCATCACGTGGAACTGCGCGCCCGAGTTCGACGCGTCCGTGGACAGCGACATGAGCTTCGTGGAGGACGGCGCGTACGTGTCGCTGCCCAACCCCATCACGCGGACCGGCGCGCGGTGGCAGCTGCAGCTCAAGACGGAGGCGCAGCAGGGCCTGCTGCTGTACAACTCGGGGCAGGGCGCGCGCGCCGACTACGTGGGCCTGGAGCTGTCCGGCGGCCGCCTGCGCCTGCTGCTGGACAAGGGCGACGGCAAGGCGGAGGTGTCGTCGGACGTGCGCGTCGACGACGGCCAGTGGCACACCGTGGTGGCGCACTTCAACCCCACCGCCATGGAGGTGACGGTGGACGGGCACACCGTGAACGCGCGGCTCGACCGCGGCGGCAACCAGTACCTGGACCTGCACGAGGTGGTGTACCTGGGCGGCACGGAGCTCAGCAAGCGCGTGCGCGCGCTGGGGCAGGGGCTGCGCGACACGAGCTTCCGCGGCTGCCTGCGCGGCGTGGAGGTGGACGGCCGACGCATGGGGCTGCCCGACGCGCGCGTCACGCACGGCGTCCGCGCCGAGTGCCTCTGGGAGTTCGCCTGCCGCACGCAGCAGCCGTGCGTGCGCGGCGCACGCTGCGAGCAGCAGGGCTTCAACGCCTTCCAGTGTGTCTGCGACCAGCCGCTGTGCGTCAAGCCCGAGTACGCCGACAGCTACAAGGTGTTCTCGCGCGGCCCCATGCCCGTCGACGTGGAGCTGGTGGAGCTGACGACGCTGTCCGTGGCGGAGGGCGACAACGTGCCCGTCACCACGGCGCACATCAACGTGGTGCTGGACTACGTCAAGTACGGCGTCCGCGACACTGGCGTGCTCATGCGGGTGCTGCAGCCGCCGGCACACGGCAAGCTCATCGCCGAGGTGTGGGAGCGCGGCGCCACGCCCGGCGCCTCCACCGCCTTCACGCTGCTCGACCTCGCCAAGGACAAGGTGCGCTACCAGCACGACGGCTCCGAGAGCACCAGGGACAGGATCGTCATGGAGCTGGAGCTGGTGGCCGGCCCGGACTTCGTGCAGCCCGCGCACCTGCAGGGCCCGCACCGCTTCGAGCTGCCCGTCAACATCACCCCCGTCAACGACGCCCCCGTCCTCACCATCGCCGCCGGCAAGACCCTCCGCCTGGCGCAAGTGAGTGCCGACCTTTTCTTTTTAACATTGCTAGTTCGGTTATTTTTAAGCATGCCTTGGTCCTGATCGGCTGGACGTAGTTCATAGACAGCACAGTGGGCCAGAAGACCGGTGGAGGCGGCCAAAATTCCAGACGCGTTTTGAGCTGCAGAGTCACTACTAAATGGGACTCGAACCGAACGTGTGACGCCACCAATGGATAGCTCTCAGAACGAGGAATCCATTGGTGGGGTCACTCGTTCGGTTCAACTCCTGCCTGGCGACTCTGGAGCTCAAATCGCGTCTAGAATTTTGGCTGCCTCTACCGGTCCTCTGCCCCACTGTGCCCCACTGTGCCCCACTGTGCCCCGCAGTTTCAAATTTAACTTTGTTTAATAAACTCCTAGTTCTGTTTAAAATTATTTCATAATATTACTCATTAGTGCAAGCAGATGGCATGTGTTTATCGCTGAGTGTCGAAGCATGCTCTAACTTAAAGTAGCCAGCCGCCTTCATTCTTTTTTTATTATTTTTGATCATCATTATTGTTATCTTGCATGAATAATTTATTTACTTTTCTTTTCGTTGTGTTTTGAGCTTACAGAGTAGCCTAACATCCTGCCTTGTGTAGAAAGCAGTGCCTTTTGATGTGTGCTCCATAACATCGAAGGTCCCAGCGAAGGTAACAGTTGCATTTCGTGAAAATTGTGTGTGAAAACATTCCCAGACCAATAAAATCGGTGCCATAATCATTTGAGTGTGACGGCTGGTGTGGTCACGTCGTAGCGAACATGTTACGGCCATCTCATGTCCATTTCCAGTAATATTCCACTTGTTTCATTCTTATTTCCTGATGCGCGCTCAGTATTTTTAAGTTGTTCCCCAAAGTATGTACATGCGTTGTAGACCAGTGGGAGTGGCCAAAATTCTAGACGTGATTTGAGCTACAGAGTCACTAAATGGGACCGGAACCGAACATGTGGCCCCACCGATGGATTGCTCTCTGAAGGAGGAATCCTTTGGTGGGGTCACACGTTCGGTTCGAGTCCTCTGTTTAGCAGCTGAGGAGCTCCAAACGCGTCACGAGTTTCGACCGCCTGTGGTCTTCTGACAAATTCACTGCCTGTCCACTGCTCGTTGCTGAACAACCGAGGGGGAAATCACTCTCAAAAATTGTGACCCGACTACTCCCTATTACGTTCTATTGCGCACTATTACGCTATTACAGAAATCTTATTACGTTTGAAAATATCGAGATTTAAGCTAAAATCAGACCCCTATAACGGAAAATTCAGAAAATTTTTGCTATTAGGCTATTACTGTTACGCGTAATACAAGGTATCGGTGACCCGGCTATTACGCGAGTGATTTCCCCCTCGTGAACAACTGCCTGCTTGCCCAGGGTACGCGCAAGGCGCTGTCCTCCGACCTGCTGCTCGCCGACGACCCGGACACCTCGCCGTCGGCGCTCGTGTACACCCTGCTGAACGCGGACGCCGCCAGGAAGGGCCAGAGCCACGGCCAGCTGGAGTGGACGGCCAGCCCGGGGGCCGCCATCGCCTCCTTCACGCAGCAGGACGTCAACGAGGGCAAGGTGTCGTACGCGCACCGCGGCGAGCGCGGCGAGGCGGAGACGAGCAACGCCAAGCTGGCTCTGCAGGTGAGGGGGGCTCTACCTCCACCGCACAGTGGGCCAGAAGACCGGTGGAGGCGGCCAAAACTCTAGACACGTTTTGAGCTCCAGAGTCGCTAAATGGGACTCGAACCGAACGTGTGACCCCACCAATGGACTGCTCTCCGAACGAGGAATCCATTGGTGGGGTCACACTTTCGGTTCGAGTCCCATTTAGCGGCTCTGGAGCTCCAAACGCGTCCGATATTTTGGCCGTCCCCATTGACCTTCTGGCCCACTGTGCACCGGGGGCCGGGGCACAGTGGACCAGAAGACGGGCGGAGGTGGTCAAAATCCCGGACGTGTTTTGAGCTCCAGAGTCGCTAAATAGGACTCGAACTGAACGTGTGACCCCACCAATGGATTCCTCGTTTGGAGTCCAATCCATTGGTGGGGTCACACATTCGGTTTGAGTCCTATTTAGCGACTGGAGCTCAAAGCGCGTCCGGGGGATTTTGCCCACCTCCATCGGTCTTCTGGCCCACTGTGCGGGGGAAAAGTTTTATTTGAACGTGTATGGGGGCGAGTTGGGGGAGAAAAGTGCTTAACCGAGACGTATCTCTGTTGTCGCTGAAGGTGTCTGACGGCATCGAGACCTCGGCGACGGCCTTCCTGCGCGTCTCGGCGTTCCCGCTGCAGCTCCGGCTCATCAACAACACGGGCGTCGTGCTGACGCACCGCGCCGCGGTGCCCATCCTCCCCGCCAACCTCACCTTCCTCACCAACGCGGACGACCCGGACCTCGAAATCCTCTACGAGGTGGGCGTCTTCGGCTCTCCAGGGGCGCCGAGTGTAGCGACGTCGATGACCCCGAGCGCACAGCGGGCGCGGAGACCTGTGCGGCCGAAATTCAGGACGCGTTTTGAGCTCCAGAGTCGCCAAATGGGACTCGAACCGAACGTGTGACCCCACCAATGGATTGCTCTCCGAACGAGGAATCCATTGGTGGGGTCACACGTTCGGTTCGAGTCCTGTTTAGCGACTCTGGAGCGCAATACGCGTCCGGGGTTTTGGCCGCCTCCACCGGCCTTCTGGCCCACTGTGCGACAGCCCCACCTAGATCCCCGCTTTTCCTCTCCCTTGCCTGCTGGCTGACGGCCACCTTGTGCTTCCCAGGTGGTGCGACCGCCGCAGTACGGCAACCTGCAGCGCCTCCGCGCGGCCGAGGGCGGCGGCGCGTCCAGGGCGGGCGCGGTGCCCGCCGTGTCCGTCAAGGGCCCCGGCATCGACCGATTCACCAGCAGGCAGCTGGCCCGGGAGCAGATCCGCTACGTGCACGCCACCGGCCAGCCCGCGCACGACGAGTTCAAGTTCAAGGTGTCCGCCGGGGACGTGCGCGTCGCCACCACCTACGACTTCCGCGTCACCTTCACCAAGCTGCGGCTGGAGCAGGCGCGCCGCGTCGACGTCAAGCTCAACCGGTCCAGGGAGGCCCTCGTCACCGAGAGGCACTTGCTGTACCGGACGGAGCCGCTCGCCACGGACCCCGCCAAGGTGGTGTACCACGTGGTGCAGGTGCCGCGGCACGGCTCGCTGGTGCTGGGCGAGAGCACGCCGTCGACGCAGCGCCAGCAGCAGCGCCTCGCGCCCGGGGACTCGTTCACCCAGCTGGACGTCAAGGAGGGCCGCCTGGCCTACCGCCTGCACCGCCAGGTGCGTTTCAACGCCACGACACTGTGTGACAGTGGGCCAGAAGGCCGGTGGAGGCGGCGAAAACCCCGGACGCGTTTTGAGCTCCAGAGTCGCTAAACAGGACTCGAACCGTACGTGTGACCCCACCAATGGATTGCTCTCCGAACGAGGAAGCCATTGGTGGGGTCGCACGCTCGGTTCGAGCCCTGTTCAGCGACTCCGGAGCTCAATCCACGCCCGGGAGTTCTGACCGTCCCCGCCGGTCTTCTGGCCCACTGTGCCTGCCGAAAACTGAAACGGCCTGGTGTTTGAACCCGCGTCCCTGCCCGCCAGGCGTACTCGCGCATCCGGGACGAGTTCACGTTCCGGGCCAGCGCCCCCGAGTGCGAGGCCATCCCCGGCAGCCTGGTGGTGGTGCACGAGGTGGGCGCGGGCTGGCAGGCCGTGCCCGGCCTGGCCGTCACCCTGGAGCGCCTGCAGGTGGCCGAGGGGGGCGCGGCCAGGCTCACCGCCTCCGCCCTCAAGCTGGCCATGACGGGCGTGACCACGGTGCGCTACACTGTCACCGGCGGCCCGTCCCACGGCACGCTCAAGGTAAGGCCCAAGTCAAATCGGGACAAAATGACGTCAAAGGACGCCAAAGGGACGTCCAAGGACGCCAAGGACGCCAAAGAACGACAAAGGACGCCAGAGGACGCCCAAGGACGCAAAGGACGTCAAAGGACGCCATTTTCACCTGAAAAATCGTTCATTTTGATGTCTTATTGACACACTCTGAAAATCTTTACAAACTATTTTGTCTCCGGGGAGACTTTGACCGGGGTGTGTAAATATTGATCAAGGAGAGCGGGGCGGTCTAAGTCAGGTTGACAGTCGAGATGTCGTCATGTGATGACATTCCGGCGCATGGTTTAAATCTTGACTGTAATCGCTCGTTTTTAAGTCATGTTGACAATTTTGCGACTTTTCTGTTGGCCGTGGTATTTGAATACCCTCGACATCTTGGAAACCGCGTTGACATTGCATTGACTTCGAGACGCTGGCCGTAGCTATGGTCTAGGATAGGAAAGTTTAGACAGGCGGCTCGCCAATAGTTAGCCAAAGCCATGAGACTAGATCTTAGAGTGAATCCTCAAGCAAAGCTTTCTCGTGTGTGGTGTGGGTAGATGATGCACCTTTCTTTTTTTTGCAACTGCATCTACGATTGTGTCCTTTGATGGGGGAAATGTGGAAATATCAGAGACCATTTGCTGTAACAGTCATCTGATTTTATTTCACTTTATAAATGTCTGACTTGAACATGAATTAGTGCGTGCCTGAAAGACAATACTGTGTGCACCAGAACTCGGGGTTTTCTTGTTTACACCCCTCGAGACAAGGGGAAATCACTGTGAATTTCGGTGTACTACAAATCTAATGAATTTCAGTCGTATTTCGATGAATTTCAGTCGAATTTCGATGATTTTCAGTCGAAATTCGATGAATGTTAGTCGAAATTCGATGAATGTTAGTCGAAATTCGATGAATGTTAGTCGAAATTCTATGAATTTTAGTCAAAATTCGTTGAATTTCAGTCAAAATTCGATGAATTTCGGTCGAAATTCGATACATTTTCATGAATTTTAGTAAACTTTACATATTTGATGAATTTTGGAGTACAAATTTGGCTGGAGTTATTTCCCCTTGCCTCGAACGGAATGCTTGGCACTTCTCTGCACCGTAGCGCAGACGGGGCTCTAACAATACCGTAAGCAGGTGTGCTCTGTCAAGGTGTCCGCCCCCACGCTCCGCGTCAACGCCACCGAGTTCACGTCGGCCGAGCTGGCGTCCGGCCAGGTGGAGTACACCCACGACGACTCCGAGTCCCAGCACGACGCGTTCCACTTCGTGGCCATGTCCAGCGAGGCGGAGGACTTCATGTACGCCGGCACGGTGCACATCGACGTGGTCCTCAAGAACGACAACGCCCCCGTGCGCGCCGTCGACCGCGTGTTCCACGTCGTCAGCGGCGGCGAGCGGCTGCTCACCGACCGCCATCTCAGGTGAAAATTTAAATTCACATTAAAATTAGTTTAAATAACAGACGACATGAGCTAGGCGAAATAAGAAGAAGAAGAATCTGCACGAACATGGTGGCCGGTCCCTGATTGGTCCTAGCAGCCGACGCACTGTGGGCCGCCGTGGAGAAGATCAAAATCCTGGACGGGCTTTGAGCTCCAGAGTCGCTAAATGGGACTCCAACCGAACGTGTGACCCCACCAATGGATTGCTCTCCGAACGAGGAATCCATCGGTGGGGTCATACGTTCTGTTCGAGTCCCGTCTGGTGACTCTGAAGCTCAAAACGCGTCTAGAGTATTGGCCGCCGGCGCCGGTCTGCCACTGTGCGCCTGCGGCCGTCCGCTATGTTCGTTCCATCCTCTTCTTTCGTCTAGCTCAACTCGTCTATTGAATAAATTGTGCTCGCTAAGGAAAATTTAGACGCATAAAATACCGTTTTTAAAATATCGACTCTCGCTTGACTTTTGTGGAAGCTCTCGAAAGAGGTTCGTACCACCGTGAAATGTTCGTTTGGTTAATGCTGACTGGGTTGCGGTGCTCGCGGTGCTGCAGGTACACCGACGCGGACCTGGACGCCTCGCCGGACAAGATCACGTACCGGCGGCGCGACATCCCCAACGGCGGCCTGTTCCGCGCCAGCCAGCCCGGCGTGGCCGTCATGGAGTTCACGCAGAAGGACCTGGACGAGGCGCGCCTGCTGTTCCGGCACCACGGCGCGGCGCAGGGCAAGGTGGACCTGTGGGTGACGGACGGCCAGTTCGTGGCCAACGGCGTGCTGGAGATCCGCGCCTCGGAGCCGTACGTGGAGGTGGCCAACAACAGCCGCCTGCTGGTGCGCAGCGGCGGCGCGGCGCCGGTCGGCACGGGCAACCTGTCCGCCGACTCCAACGTCAACTCGCTGCCGGAGCAGCTCCGCTTCGAGGTCCTGGAGGGCCCCATCCACGGGCGCCTGTTCCTGCGGGACTCCCCCGCGCCGGGGACGGCGCCGGGGCCGCTGGGGGCGGCGGGCGGCAGCGGCGGCGGCTCCAAGACGCAGCAGCAGGCCGTGCACTTCACGCAGCGCGACCTGGAGGCCGGCCGCCTCTGGTACCAGCACGACGCCAGCGACTCGGTCTCGGACACGTTCCGCTTCCGCGTCGACGTGCCCGGCTCCACCGTGGAGGACCGCTTCGACGTGCGCGTCTTCCCGTCCAGCTACTGGGAGCCGTTCGCCGTGCACGCCAACGAGACCATCACGGTGGAGGAGGCGACGAGCGTGGCGGTGGCGGCACGCTTCCTGGACGTGCGCCAGCGCCACGTGCCCGCCACGGACATCACGTTCGTGGTGGTGGAGCCGCCGCAGTTCGGCTACCTGGAGGTGGAGCACGCCGGCGCGTCCACCGAGGACCCCGTCCGCGCCGCCAACGCCTCCGGCCACGGCCAGGCCTCCGTCACCGTGTTCGAGCAGTCGCTCATCAACGAGGGCCGCGTGCTGTACGTGCAGACCGCGCCCAACCAGACGCAGGACCGCGTCGTCCTGGACGTCACCAACGGCATCTCGTGGCTGCGCGGCCTCGTCGTGCGCCTCGACATCATCCCCGAGTCCCTCTACCTGGTGGCCGGCGACCTGCGCGTGTCCGAGGGCTCCCTGGTGGCGCTGCCCGCCAACCTCCTCACCGTCCTCACCGACTACTACCGCAGCCGCATCACGGAGTACCGGGTGACGTCGCCGCCCTCCGCGGGCCGCATGCAGCACGCGCGCGAGCCGGGCCAGACCATCAGCAAGTTCAGCCCGCAGCAGCTGCAGGCGGGGCTCATCCAGGTGAGCGGCCTTTCCAGTGTAGGCGCTGCAGCGTTGCCTCCACTGCGAACCCCTGCAGCGTAGGCAGTGCCGTTGCGCGCGGGAGTGCGGCGGGACAGTCTACCCTGTACTTCGCAGGCGCTTCGCTCTTTTACCCTCCGCCGCCACTGTGGGCCAGAAGACCGGCGCTGGCGGCCAAAACTCAGAAGCGTTTTGAGCTCCGGAGTCGCTAAATGGGACTCGAACCGAACTTGTGACCCCACCAATGGATTGCTCTCTGAACGAGGAATCCATTAGTGGGGTCACATGTTCGGTTCGAGTCCTGTTTAGCGACTCTGGAGCTCAAAGTGCGTCTAGGAGTTTGTCCGCCTCCACCGGTCTTCTGGCCCACTGTGCGCCGCCGAGGCCCAGGCTGACAGTGTGCTCCCCGCAGTACGCGCACGACGGCAGCGAGACGCCGGAGGACGCGTTCTCCGTGTCCGCGGTGGCCGGCGACCGCAGCAGCGCGCCCACCAAGGTGCGCGTGGTGATCGCCGCCGTCAACGACGAGCCCCCCAAGGTGGTCAACAGCAGCAGCGTCAGGCTGTGGCGCGGCAGCAGCGCCGTCATCTCGGCCAGCAACCTGGGTGAGTCATCCAGACGCGTCCCACAGTGGGCCAGAAGACCGGTGGAGGCGGTCAGAATCCCGGACGGGTTTTGAGCTCCAGAGTCGCTAAATGGGACTCGAACCGAACGTGTGACCCCACCAATGGATTGCTCTCCGAACGAGGAATCCAATGGAGGGTCACACCTTCGGTTCGAGTCCTGTTTGGCGACTCTGGAGCTCAAAACGCGTCTAGAGGTTTGGCCGCCTCCACCGGTCTTCTGGCCCACTGGGCGTCGTCGCCTCGGTCTCCGCCCTGTCAGACGCCTTCTCTTTTTAAATGTTTTTAAATTAAATTTTTTGAAACTATTTTCCTTAAACTTTTTGTTTTTATTTTCAGCTGTGACGGACGCCGACACCACGCCTCAAAACCTATCCTTCCGTGTGATGAGTCTTCGCGCGGGCCATGTGTCTTTCGCACACTTGCCGACAGTGCCTATCACCAAGTTCACCCAGGCTGACGTCAACAGCAACATCATTGTCTTTGTTCATTCAGGTGAGACCTGGATGGGCATTCATTTTTACGTTTAATTTCTTCATAGTTACAAAGAAATATCCAAAAAATAAATTTTATTTCTTGCGAACAGGTGCCTCCGAATCGGGAAAGGTTGAGCTGACCGCGTCAGACGGGATGAAAGAGACGGAGCCGATCAAACTGGAGATGCGCTCAGAACAGCCGTCCTTCAAGGTCGTGGCAAACGAAGTCCTCCACGTGTTCCCCATGCTCAGGAAGTGCATCACAGCAGAGCACTTGATGATAGTGACCACCGACCCCAACCGTAATGTCACTTACAGTGTTCGGTAAGTTTTAAATTTATTTTTTTCAATTTCTTTCTTTACTTTCTTGTCAACTCTGCACTGTAGTATTGATTTGCACAGTGAACAAGTCTGATTACATCTAACGGGATGCGCAAGCAGTACACGGATCCCACAGTGGGCCAGAAGACCGCTGGAGGGGGCCAAAATTCTAGACGCGTTTTGAGCTCCAGAGTCGGTAAACAGGACTCGAACCGAACGTGTGACCCCACTAATGGATTGCTCTCCGAGCGAGGAATCCATTGGTGGGGTCACACGTTCGGTGTGAGTCCTGTTTGGCGACTCTGGAGCTCAAAACGCGTCGAGAATTTTGACCGCGTCCACCGGTCTTCTGGCCTGCTGTGGAGCCATGAGACACGGGTCATTCCCACACTACGTGACCGATTTTAGGCCACTTTTTGACCCCTCCCCCCTCATAGTGACCAGGATAACCTAACCTTCCCATGTAATTAAGATGGGCCGTAGTATTTGGCTCGACTCCCCCCTCCCCCCAAATGGTCACGTAGTATGGGAACGGCCCCTAACAGGATCCAGAATAATTCTTACTTATTTTGATATTCCGTTCGCAGTGTGCCGCCAACTCAAGGACGCCTCCTGCTGATCTCCGAACGCGTCGGCGAGGCAGCGAGTTCCGTGACCGGCGGGCGCAGCGCGTCGGGCAGGGAGGTGCTCAACTTCACGCAGCGCGACGTCAACATGAGCCGCCTGTGCTACCAGCACACCAGCCCCTTCAAGGACCTGCAGGCCAACGACTCGTTCGAGTTCGACGTGATGGCGCCCTTCCTGGACACCATGCCGAACCAGGTGTTCCGGATCGAGGTGTCCGTGTCGAGCGGCGGCCTGGACCAGTTCGTGAGCGTGGCGCAGCTCATCGTGGAGGAGGGCGGCTCGGCGCCGCTGCTGCTCAACACCAGCACCGTGCTGGACTTCCTGCGCAGGGACGTGGGGCTGGAGCAGCCCGTCATCCAGGTAGGGCCGGGCGAAAGTTCCATCTCAATATCACTATCAAAAATTTTATATTATCTAATATTGAATTTTCGATAATATTGAGGTACCAATTCCAGTATTGAAACATTGTTTTTCAATACGTATATTGAAATACATCCCCAGTATTGAAAGTCAGAATCTGCATAAGACTTATGAGCTTCATTTTTAGCACAAAAATGAGCTTCTCTGCACAGTTTTCTTTGTGACTGGACTGGACTAAGTATCGTAGTATCGTTCACTACTCCTCCATTTTCTCAAGAATATCGCACTATAAATCTCAATGTTCAATATAGGATGCAAGGGAGGGGGTCACCTTTTATGCACTAGACGGCCGCCTGGAGGGTAGGCAAATTACGTCATATTCTCCCTGTAAGTAGGCAAAAATCAGCGCCTGACACACACACACATCCTCCCCCATGTTCAAAATTTATGCGCACACTATTGGAAGTGTCAATAAAGTGATAATGGAATATCGATCTTTTAAAATATCGAAATTGTTGTCAATACATTGAAATCTCTCACCCCGTGATCCAGGTGCAGGTGGTGCTGCCGCCCGTGCACGGCGCGCTGTGCGTGCGCACACTGTGCAACGCCACGGCCACGCAGCCCTTCTCGTCCACGCAGCTGGCGGCCGGCGAGGTGCTGTACCGCCACGACCACTCGGACACCACCTGGGACGAGGTGGCGCTGTCGCTGCTGCTCGCGCCTGGCGACGTGCTGCTGGGCAACGTGTCCATCCCCGTCACCGTGCTGCCCGTCAACGACCAGCCCTTCCGCATGGCCGAGCCCAGCCCCCAGCTCGCCGTGGTCAGTGCAGAGCAGTGCAGAGCAGTGCAGAGGCACCGCCCGCACAGTGGGCCAGAAGACCGGTGGCGGCGGCAAAAAGTCCCGACGCGTTTTGAGCTCCAGAGTCGCTAAATGGGACTCGAACCGACCGTGTGACCCCACCAATGGATTCCTCGTTCAGAGAGCAATCCTTTGGTGGAGTCACACGTTCAGTTCCAGCCCCATGCAGCGACTCTGGAGCCCAAAACGCGTCTAGAATTTTGGCCGCCTCCACCGGTCTTCAGGCTCACTGTGCCACTGGAACCCCTTCTCGAGGTTACGTGGTTTGAACTTGCGACCTCCGTGTTGCCGCAGGTGCAAGGCCAGGCCGCCCTGGTGACCAGGAAGCAGCTGCTGACGGAGGACGCCGACACGCGCGCCGAGGAGCTCGTCTATGACGTCATCAGCAACCCCAGCCAGGGCCGCCTGGTGCTGGACTCCAACGCCCCGAACGTGGCGGCCCCCGCCCCCACCCCCGCCCCGGGGCCGGGCCCGTCGCGTCGGTGGGCCGCTTCTCGCAGGCCGACATCGACGAGAGCAGGCTGTGGTACGTGCACGAGGGGCCGCTGCAGCCGGACAGCTTCTACTTCCGGGTGTCCGACGGCAAGTTCACGCCCATCTACACCGTCTTCAACATCCAGGTAAGGACTTTCCCCGCTGGAGTGCTCGTGCAGACTGATTCCGAGAGGCGTTTTCGTCGCGCATTAGTCCAGGAGACCGGTGGAGGCAGGCAAAACTCGAGACGCGTTTTGGGCTGCAGAGTCACCAAATGGGACTCGAACCGTGCGTGTGACCCCACCAATGGATTCCTCGTTCGGAGAGCAATCCATTGGTGGGGTCACACGTTCAGCTCGAGTCCTGTTTAGCGACTCTGGAGCTCAAAACACGTCGTGACTTTCGGCCGCCTCCACCGGTCTTCTGGCCCACTGTGCGTCGCCCTGTCTCTCTCGCACTCGTGGGGCGTGCCCTTTCGGTGCGAGAGAGACGGACTCACCGACTCCCTTGCCGCAGGTGGTGCCGCTGTCGCTGAACGTGTCCTCGCGGTCGCCGCTGCGGCTGCAGCAGGGCTCCCCGGTGGCCACCATGTCCGCCGACAACTTCCTGCTGCAGACCAACGGGCGGCGCGACGCCGTGCAGTACAACGTGACGCGGCCGCCGCGGCACGGCGCCGTGGCCATGGCGGCGGCCAGGGAGCGCGCCGTCAGCGCGTTCGGCCAGGCGGACGTGGACGCCGGGCACGTGCTGTACGTGCAGTCCGACATGACGGCGTCCTCCGACTCGCTGGAGGTGTCGGCCTGGGTGGCGGGCGTGGCGGTGCGCGGCCTGGTGCTCAACGTGACCGTGGTGCCGCTGGTGCGCCTCGGCGTGTTCAGCCCCATCGCCGGCAACAAGACCCGCCTCGACCTGGCCGTGCTGGACGCCGCGCAGCTGGCCGACAAGTCCCACACGGACCCCGTGTACCGCGTGCTGCGCCGCCCCCGCCTCGGCAAGATCAGGAGGATCGTGCGCAGCTCCGGCGCCGCGGTGGAGGCCCGCGCCGACCGGGAGCCCAGGAACGCGACGGCCACCACGCCGCCGGCCACGGCCTCGGCCGGCCCCGCGGTGCGCGAGCGCGAGGTCGAGCGCTTCACGCACCAGGAGATCCGCGCCGGGCTCATCTACTACGTGTGCAAGCGCACCGGCCAGCCAGGGGTGAGTGCCATCTGCCATTCCAAGGGGCGAGCAGTGCGCAGTGGGCCAGGAGGCCGGTGGAGGCGGCAAAAATCCCGGACGGGTTTTGAGCTCCAGAGTCGCTAAACAGGACTCGAACCGAACGAGCGACCCCACCAATGGATTCCTCGTTCGAAGAGCAATCCATTGGTGGGGTCACACGTTCGGTCTGAGTACCATTTAGCGACTCTGGAGCTCGAAACGCGTCAAGAAATTTGGCCGCCTCCAGCCCACTGTGCGGCGTTGCCGCATAACTGAGTAACCCCTTGATGGTTTTGTTCCGCTCCAGGACGAGGACTCGATCCTGTTCGAGCTGGCGGCGCCGGGGGCGTCCAACTTCCAGCCCGCCACGGGGGAGCTGCGGTTCCTGCTGCGTTCGGAGCACGGCCCGCCGCCGACGGCCTTCGTGCCGCAGAGGCCGCGCATCCCGGGGCCGAAGGGCGGCGGGCTCAACATCGACCCCGTGGTGGTGGCCAGCCCCAACATGAGCAACGACTACTTCCTGCTGATGAGCATGGTGGTGGGCGTGGTCGTGCTGGCGCTGCTCGTCATCGTCGTCAACAAGTGCCGCGCCGGCGCCGCGCAGGTAGGCCGAGGCGCCGCACAGCGGGCCTGAGGACCGCTGGAGGCGGCCAAAATTCCAGACGCGTTTTGAGCTCCAGAGCCGCTAAACAGGACTCGAACCGAACGTGTGACCCCACCAATGGATTGCTCTCCGAACGAGGAATCCATTGGTGGGGTCACACGTTCGGTTCGAGTCCTGCTCAGCGACTCTGGAGCTCAAAACGCGCCTAGAGTGTTGGCCGCCTCCACCGGTCTTCTGGCTCACCCCGCAGTCCGCCTTACCGCTGTAGGCGTGGAGCTCACCCTCTCCCGCTTTCTCCCTCAGATGCACGACAGCCAGAACGGCAAGCCCGACCTGTCGGACCGCTCCCTGGGGCCGCTGCCGCTGCCTCGGCCTCCGGACGACCTGATGCCGTCCTCGCCGCGGCCGAAGCACTTCGGCGTGCCGTCGCTGTCCCTGGCGTCGACGCCGACGTCCGTGGCCAGTGTGCTGCCGCAGTGCAAGGTGATCCCCCTGGGCCCCGTGGACTCGGTGACCAGCTCGGAGCCGGAGCTGAACGTGAACCTGCGCTACCCGTACGGGGCGGACGACACCCCGCTGCCGCTGCCCCTGCCGCAGGACTGGGGCAGCACGTTCGACGCGTCCGCGGGGATGGCGACGGGACCCTCGGCCTTGCCCTCGGCCTCGGAGCTGTCCTTCGGCACACTGCCCAGCCAGCACTGCCAGCAGGCGCGCGCCAGCGCCAACAACCCCATGCTGAGGCGGAACCAGTACTGGGTCTGAGGGCAGCCCGGGCCGGCCACCCTCCACCGGAGGCCCCCGCAGTGGGCCTCGGCCGGTCCGAACCAACAGAACCCTGGCGCCCATGCCCCGCCGAGCGTCCCGCACAGCATGACCCTGCCCAGGAACAGTGGCTACCGGTAGCGAGGAACAGCTCCGCTGGGTCACTGTTGGTCGCCTCAGCTGCCGTGGTCGGGTTCTGATAATTTTGTGCTGTTGTGAGTGTGTTGACTGTAGTCTGGTGTTTCGTTTGATTTTTTTATAAGACGTGTGTAGTCATGTCTGCTGGTTATCAGACTGCATTGTTGCAACTGCAACCTTTCGGCTCAAGGATTTATTGAGTTTCTAGTTAATACTGTGTTTTTGGTGACCTCAGTATCGGCCAGTTACCAAATCAGGAAAGCAAGGCCCTTTTTCTGGAACAAAATGTATCAGATCTGCTAACGCAGCTTTTTCCTTTTCTTGCCAACTAAAGGGTCCAATGAGAGATTTCAGTTACGTCTCCTATAGAGACCCTCCTCTGATCTCAATGCGCTGTGTGTCAAGATTTTGGTATATTATATGTGCATGCATTTGCTTTCGCCCCTTTGTACCAATGAAACAGGCAAGCAAGCCAAAAACTATATGCAAATCATTTTGACTGAGAGTGTGATGTTTGCCGTGTACCTAAAATTCATTAAGGGCTCAAATCTTTTCATGTCCTGCTCAAAATACTGCACAAATGTTTATCCATTATTCTATGAATGATTCACACCACATCATAATTTTCCTTTTTTTCTTCTAGCAATCCAACAAGCTGGCTAAATCATTATTTGCCATTAACTGAATTTTACATTTGCCATTTTAAGGAGAGTGTATGGCCTTTTGACTGATGCGTTTCAGAAACCCTATTTACATAATTCCATATATTTGGGATAGGTGAAAAAGTCCTAAATACCTAAAAAGAATTTTTTATGTAGGTATAGTTACATAGAATTATGTGTACAAAATCTTGTTGTGTCTAGTTGTATTGTTTTTTTCTACACACTTGTATAACTGTTGTATATTAAATGTGCCAAACATTTACAATACTGAACTGAAAATGATGTATGTGTATGTGTGCTGATGTGTTTTTCTTGAGCTGTACAGCTTTTTTCTACTGAATTTTGGATCTAGCTCATGTTCCTTGTTTTGTCATATTGGCTGCTTTCAACCTGAAACAAAGACACAACCTTGTGGAACTTTACGAAAGCCTTCAATGTCACTGTTTTGCACCCTCACAATAGGAAAGCTTTCTTAATCGTTGACCTTTCTTTTTTTAAGGTAACATTCCATAATATGTGTATGGAAATAGTAGGAACATTGTGCAACTTTCAGATATGTTCAAATTTGTTCTGCCTGAGTACAATTTTCTCATATATTGCAGACACATTATCACACGTCATAATTAAAACTGGAGTTACTGCAGTATTTCAGAAAATTTCCCAACAAGCTCAAATTACTAGGCTTGTTTGGCCGTTAAAAGACTGTAATAAAAACTTTTTTTTTTTTTTGTTGTTTTTTTTTTTCAAGAGTTCATTCATTGCAACAAAAAGACCTCAGCACTTGATGATTGAAATTTCGATGACAATAGCTCACAAGTTTGCCTAATACGTTTGTACATACATGAGGCATACTTCATAAGCCTATTGATGGTTTGATTGTTGACTAAGAGTTATTATATAATGGTTTTGTTTCAAACAATAGTGTTGATTCAATGATTATTAAATATTTGTAAATCAATATGTCTTTGTCACTGTTGTTTTTATTCGTGTTATGAAGATTAATTTCAATACTGTTTATATGTTTGTTTTAAATTAAAAGTGGATTATGTAGAATGTTGATAATGCCATGTTAGTCTTCTGTATGTACTTAAGAAGGAGAAACATTAAAGACGGTTGAGGTGGAAAAAAGTCTGTGTGATATTAGAGGTCTCTGCATTTTTAATGTGGGGAAGGCACTTGAAGATACAGCATATTTATGGAGTTTCACGTGTAGGCCATTTTAAAGTTATCTCACCTGTTTTATACTTTCATTTTGTACTTTTTTTATGCTTTATGTTTCCTCTGGCCTGCAAAATGGTTTAGAATATTTGCTGCATGAGTGTACCACCAAATCAACTTGGAGTTCCCTTGATTTGTTCGTTACAAATTGTGGACTTTGCAGCATATACTTTTATTTTACATTAATAGAGCACGATGCAACATTAGAGGTAGCTTTACAGTAGAATCGTTCAGAAGACTTCTGTACTGAAACCAAGTTGTCTCCACATTAAAATCAATATTCACTGTCTATAATCTGTTTGTACCCTATGGTTCGTAGGTGAAAATAATTGTTCCCTCCTAGTCAATGGCATAGTTCCAAATTGCGACACCATACTGATGAAATTGTATGTCCAGCTGTTCTCTCTGAAGTTTGTGAATTAAATGATGACCTCTGTGAAAAAAAGTACAGCACGACGCCTTTTTCTTCCCCTGCTTCCCAAGCCGTGTACCCAGTATCACTGCCACTGCTGGTGTGCCCCCACTGTACGCGAACCCCCCACTCCTGTCGTGCCCGCGACGGCCGCGCTCCGTTTTTGGCGGCAGCGCGAGGGAGACGCGAGGTAGACGTCGACGGCGAGGTTGGCGTTGACGGCGTGGTCGCGGCTGGCAGTGCAGACCGCCGCTCGGGCTCGCGGGACTCCGTGCAGTGCAGTGGCGGCGGCCTTCGCGGCCGAGTCGGCAAGCCATGGGGAAGTCCTTCAAGTCCTTGTGCCTGCTGTGCTGCGGCATGGGTGAGTCCGCGCTCCGCTGCCGGAGAGCAATCCATTGGTGGGGTCACACGTTCGGTTCGAGTCCTGTTTAGCGACTCTGAGCTCAAAACGCGTCTAGAGTTTTGGCCGCCTCCACCGGTCTTCTGGCCCACTGTGTGGTGCAGGTACTTCGTTTTCTGGTGACGCTGACCCAAGTGTTCCGCAGTGCTCGTTGCAGCCATCGAGGGCAAGGCGTCGTCCTCTAGGAAGTCCACCCCGAGGGCCAGCCCGAAGGCCGCCCCCAAGACCACAGCCAACGCGCCTCCGAGCGCGTCGCGCTCCACCTCGCTCGCCAAGTCCACCTCCGCTCCCGCATCCGCGGGGTCCACGGCGCCATCCTCAGCGCGTGTCTCGCCGGCCTCGTCAACAGCAGTGAAACCTGCGGATCAAACCGCTTCGTCCGGGAGCTCGACGTCCTCGGCCTCGCAGCAGCCAACCACGCCGTCGACGAGGCCGAGCACCGCGTCGTCGGCCAGCCCGTCGCCCGACCGGAATCAGACCGCCTTGTCCACGAACAAATCGTCCTCGTTGTGCTGGTGGTCGCAAAGCAGGCCGACGGCCGCGCCGTGTCACTCGCACACGGCGCTTCCGTCCTCTTCCACCTCGAAGATCAGTCCGTCGACGACCAGGTCGGCGTCCACGGCTCACTCCGCCTCCAGGACCCCGTCGTCCACGGCGCTGCCGCTCAGGCCGACCCTTGGTGTCGGAACGACTAGCCCGCCTCCGACCATAATGAAACGTCTGCACATCCTCCTCTTTTCGTGAGTACAGCGACCGGTGCAGAAGGCAGGGCATGCGTTTACACTCCGTGCAAACAGCGAAGCGTTGTGGGTTCTCGCGGGCGAGGGCAACTGTCGCAGAGTGGACCAGCAGACTGGCGCCGGCGGCCAAAACTCTCGACGCGTCCTGAGCTCCACAGTCGCTAAATGGGACTCGAACCGAACGTGTGACCCCACCAATGGATTCCTCGTTCGCAGAGCAATCCATTGGTGGGGTCACCCGTTCGGTTCGAGTCCCATTTAGCGACTCTGGAGCTCAAATCGCGTCCAAGATTTTGGTCTTCTAGCCCACTGTGTGTCGCCTTGGTCACTACTGCAGCAGCGAATCCGGAGCTCTTCCCAGCCTGAACGGAGTAGCTAGTTTCCCGCGCACTCATCGCCTCGCCGTTGGTGCGCCTCCTCGCAGGCGTGACGGGTCCACCGTAAGGGTGTCCTTGGACAACCACACGCTGGCGGCGCTGCCGGGCTTCGACAGCGCCAAGCGCCACTCGGTCTTCATCGTGCCGGGCTTCACGGTGCCCGCCACCGACGACAAGATCCTGCGCGCCGTGCGAGCCTTCTTGGCGCACTGGGAGCACCTCAACGTGCTGGTGCTGGACTGGAGCGCGTTCAGCGGCCAGCCCTACTTCCGCGCCGTGTACAACCTCCCCTTGGTAAGCTGCCGACGGGCCGCTGGCTTTGGGTCGCCTCACAGTGGGCCAGACGACCGGTGGAGGCGGTCGAAATCCCGGACGCGTTTTGAGCTCCAGAGTCGCTGAATGGGGCTCGAACCGAACGTGTGACCCCACCAATGGATTGCTCTCCGAACGAGGAATCCATTGGTGGGGTCACACGTTCGGTTCGAGTCGCATTTAGCGACTTAGGAGCTCAAACCGCGTCTGGAATTTCGGCCGCCTCCACCAGTCTTCTGGCCCACTGTGCGCTGGTTGTCGGCGCCACGCCGCGCCGTCTTTGGCCGTCTTCCTGCGAACCGCGGCGTAGGTGCGCAGGTGTGCGACGCCGTGGCCACGTGGATGAACCAGCAGCTGGAGGCCGGGCTGCGCGCCGACGCCGTCTGGCTGGTGGGGCAGTCCCTCGGCGCGCACCTGGCCGGCAGGGCGGCGGCCTCCATGACGAGCAGGCCGGCGCGCATCACGGGGCTGGACCCCGCCGGCCCGCTGTTCTGGACGGCGGGCCCCATGACGCGCCTGTCGCGCCACCAGGCCGCCTTCGTGGACGTCATCCACACGGACGCCGGCTGGCACGGCCTGGGCCTGCACGTCGCCGTCGGCCACCTCGACTTCTGGCCGAACTACGGTGTGGGCGTCCAGCCGGGCTGCAGCGACCTGCGTAAGTGGCGCGGTCAGCGAGGTAGACCGGGTGCAGGTCGGCGAGGCACAGTGGGCCAGAAGACCGGCGCAAGTCTACACGCGTTTTGAGCTCCTGAGTTGCTAAACAGGACTCGAACCGAACTTGTGACCTCACCAATGGATTGCTCTCCGAACGAGGAATCCATTGGTGGGGTCACACGTTCGGCTCGAGTCCCATTTAGCGTCTCTGGAGGTCAAAACGCGAGTAGACTTTCTGCCGCCTGCGCCACTGAGCAAGGTCAGCGCCCGCCAAATGGCAGGTAGGCAACACGCCCGACTCCGGTGCGCTGCGGTCATGATCAATGCCTCGACCATTCCCATTACCATTGAGGGCTAGACCACACATGATGCGGGTCGACTTTCCGGCTCCCTCGCACCGATGAAAGCCGACGAGGAGTGACAAGGGCAGAGTTACGAAGTGGCGTTGCGTACACGGTAAAAACGGTTCCTGGTTTTCCCAGGAACTTCCTGGAAATCGCCTATACCTTCACCATTGGTGTCCTGGGAAAACCAGGTTCCGTTTTTACCATGTAATGTGCGGACGGACCCTCACGATCTTGGCCTGCTTTGCGTGCCTTCCCGCACTTTGCCTGCAGGCTGCAGCCACCGACGCGCCCTGGAGCTGTTCATCGAGAGCGTGACCCACCCCGCGGCCTTCCCTGCCGTGCTCTGCGAGCGGGACGCGTTCCGGCAGGGCTCCTGCCTCATCACGGCGTCCAGCGTGGCCTTCATGGGCTTCGCCGCGTCACCGTGAGTGTCTCACTCCCACTCCTGGACCACCCAGTGTGCGCGAGAGAGGCAGAGCGACGATTCCTGAGCGGAATCGGTCCACTTTACCCATCATGGGGGTGACGGCTCTGCAGGCTGATTTCCGGACAGTGTTTTCGTTTACCTGTCTCACTCGCACTCATGGAGTGTCCGGTAGGGGTGCGAGCGAGACAGAGCGGAGAATCCTGTGCGAAATCGGTCCACTTATATTCACGTGCCTGCTCTGCAGGCAGAGTCACGAAGGTGCTTCCATCGCTTTGTCTCACTCGCACTTATGGATTGTTCCCTAGCCTAGGGGTGCGAGAGACTGCGCAGTGGTCCAGAAGACCGGTGGAGGCGACCGAAATTCCAGACGCGTTTTGAGCTCCAGAGTCACTGAACAGGTCCCGAACGGAGCGTGTGACCCCACCAATGGATTCCTCATTCGGAGAGCAATCCATTGGTGGGGTCACACGTTCGGTTCGAGGCCAGTTTGGCGACTCTGGGGCTCAAAACGCGTCTAGAATTTAGGCCGCCCGCCTCCACCGGTCTTCTGGCCCACTGTGCACCATGCGGCGCTACCTGTTCCGGTCCAGGGCCTCGGCCGATGGCAACTACCAGCTCCGGACGGCGGCGGCGGGGCCGTACGGTCTGGGCAACGCCGGCCTGGAGGCGAAGACCGCCAAGACGGCCGAGAGGTGCTCCCAAGAGGACCCAGAGTCGGAGTGCCGCGAGGACGAGCACCGCGACGAGCACCCGCTGGCCCTGGACCCGGTGTGGCGCTGGGAGGACGAGTACACCGAGGACTAGATCCTGCTCGAGTCGAACTGCAGCAGGATCAGCAAGTACGACAGCACCGTCGCACTCATCTGCAACACGGCGGACGCTGCTGCTCGGCTTTTCGAAATAAACCGCAGCAGGCCAGCAGTAGTCGCTTGCCCTTCTCCGCCACCACTGCCATGTGACAGTGGGCCAGAAAACGGTGGAGGCGGTCAAATCCTCCGACGCCTTTTGAGCATCAGCGTCGCTAAATGGGACTCGAACCGAACGGTGACCCCACCAATGGATTGCTCTCCGAACGAGGAATCCATTGGTGGGGTCACACGTTCGGTTCGAGTCCTATTCAGCGACTCCGGAGCCCAAAACGCGTCTAGAGTTTTGGCCGCGGGCGCCGGTCCACTGGCAAATCTACTGTGCCTCTTCGCCAGCTTCACTCACGGCAGCCAGGGAGTCGCCGCCGATGTTGATGAGGCCCGCGGCGGTGCAGCGCGGAACCAGGGAGTCCACCTGCCGCTGGAAGATGAACCACTGTGAAACCCAGTGGAGGGAGAGGATTAGCGCGACCAAGCAAAACCTTGGAAGGGCTCGCGAGGGAAAGGGCGAGGGCCGACCTTGTCCTTGCTGCGGGCATGCCAAGTCCCCGGGTCGACGCGCAGGCACTGGACCGCCACCGCCGCGGCCTGGAAGGGCTGCGAGCTTTAGCAAGTTCGAAGGCAGTTTTCATCTCCACAACAAAGAGCTTTCTGATCTGGCATGCAGCCGAGCCCTTCCGAAAAATCGCTTCGTTGCATTGTCCTTGTGGTGCGAGAGAGACCGAGCGAATGAGCGTTTCGTTTTTCTGTCTCTCTGGCGCCTGGAAGGGCCGCCCCACGAGAGCGACGACAAGATCCTTGGCTTGGCAGCGCACAGTGGGCCCGAAGACCGGGGGAAGCGGTCAGAATCCGGGACGCGTTTTGAGCTCCAGAGTCACTGAAGGACTCGAACCGAACGTGTGACCCCCCCAATGGATTGCTCTCCGAACGAGGAATCCACTGGTGGGGTCACACGTTCAGTTCGAGTCCTATTTAGAGACTATGGAGCTCAAAACACGTCCTGAGTTTTGACCGCCTCCACTGGTCTTCTGGCCCACTGTGCAGTGGAGGCCCGCGGTGCGACTCACGGCCCCTTTGATGGCCTCGGCGGCAGCGCTGACCGTGCAGAGTCTGGCCAAGAAGTACGCGAGGTCGGCCCTCGCCCTCATGGCGAGCCCGTTCCCCTCCGAGGTCCCCTTGCTGCTCGTGAGGGCCTGGGCCGCCACGATGTACGTCGAGTTGACGAGGTTCACGAGGCAGGCGGCGACGGTGACGAGCAGCTGGGGGCCGAGCAGCGCGTGCAGGGTGGCCGTCAGCGAGACGAGCTGCTCGTGGCAGCGCCGCGCCCCGTCCAGCCAGTGTGCCGACGGCGACCGCGACGGCCCCTGCAGCGCGCGGACCTGCTCGGCCAGGCGGTGGAAGCCGAGCGCCAGCACGTGGCACGACAGCACGTACTGCGTCTCCAGCGCGATGGGCACGCAGTAGGCGGGCACGACGGCCAGCATGGTCAGGGAGGGGCCGGACGGCGGACCGTTGTGGAAGTACTCGCGTGTCGCGTCCAGCACCACCAGCATCGTGGGGCCGACGAGCGAGCGCGCCGACCAGCCTGCCGGCCACACTGCACAGAGTGTCACAGAGGCGAGGACGTCCAGTCCACTGCAAGTGGATTTGCCACAACACCGGCGCCGGCGGCCAAAACCCGAGACGCGTTTTGAGCTGCGGAGTCGCTAAATAGGACTCGAACTGAGCGTGTGACCCCACCAATGGATTGCTCCCCGAACGAGGAATCCATAGGTGGGGTCACACGTTCGGTTCGAGTCCCATTTAGCGACTCTGGAGCTCAAAAAGCGCCCGGGATTTCGACCGCCTCCACCGGTCTTCTGGCCCACTGACGCACCCTGCTGGTTGGCGGGTCGCAGCTCGCGGCTCAAGAGCAGCATGCTGTTGACGAAGCGCTCCAGGCGGCGTCCGTGAACCCACGGCCCCACCAGGCAGGGAAGACTGCTCAGGCTGTACAGCACCAGGGCCGCCTTGGTGGTGATCTCCTTGATGATGTTGCGCGGCGTGCCCTCGGAATGTAGCTGAAGCAACGAGGGAGGGCGTCAGCCATCAGCGCGCGCCCTCCGGAGCACAGTGGGCCAGAAGACCGGTGGAGGCGGCCCAAAACTCTAAACGCGTCTTGAGCACCGAAGTCGCTGAACAGGACTCGAACCGAGCGGGTGACCCCACCAAAGGATTGCTCCCCGAACGAGGAGTCCATTGGTGGGGTCACACGTTCGGTTCGAGTCCCATTTAGCGACTCTGGGGCTCAAAACGCGTCCAGAGTTTTGGCCGCCTCCACCGGTCTTCTGGCCCACTGTGCGGTGACGTGCGCGATGCGAACTCACGAAGGAGAAGTCGACGACGACGCCGAAGAGGTGGATGGTGAAGGTGGAGCACGCCACCAGGAGCACGTTGGCGGCCAACAGGGGCGGGCAGAGGCGCCAGGCGGCGTCTCGCCGGTCCTGCTGCGCGGGGCTCTTGAAGCGCAGCGGGAACACGCCCATCACCTGGCCGAAGACGACCAGGGGCGGGTACCACGCGCCGGGGAAGTCCGGCACCCCGCCGAGCTGGCCGCGCTGGCCAAGCTGGCCAAGCTCGTGGCCCTCTTGGCGCTCGCCCGCGTGCGGCCACATGCCACTGCTGCACTCAAGTCTTTCTGTCTGTCTCTGTCTGCCAGTCCGTCTGTCTGCCTGACTCGGGTCATTATCAAGCGCACGGGAGCGTGGAGTCTTGTGTGGTCTTGTGTTGACCAAAGCCGACTTTCTTTCGCGGTCGATTGGGGGGAAAGCCCGGGGTTAGGGGGGGATTAAGGGAGGGCGGGGGAAGGGGGTGTCTCGGTCAAACTAAGCAGTGTTGCGGTTTTGCCTGTCTCTGTTAATGAACGACTGGACTGCCGAGCGATTCAAAGGTGTCGTTTCGTCGCTCTGTCTCTCTCGCACTCACGAGGTTCTCCGTTGAGGGTGTGAGAGAGACAGAGCAAACCGATTTTCTGAGCCGCTCGGCTGAACGCGGCTTGAGAATTCCCTCCCCTCCCCAAAGACTCTGACAAGCAAGCCCTTGACCAATTGTAAGCGCGAAATAAGCACTGTGCTTGCGCTGTCAAAAATGCTCGCTGAACAGCTTTCCGCGTAAAATAAATGCCCTCTGGCGTACTGGCATCCGTTTTCCCACCCACACGAGCCGTCCGTTCCCCCTTCGTCACCTTCGTCCGCTTCAGGCAAGTGTTGCCAACTGTTTTTGTTTTTGTTGTTGTTTTGTGTTTCAGTGTGGTACACCTGACGATGACAGACACGACAGACATGGCTGCCGCCCGCTGCCCCCCCATTGGATCAGTGACTGGGATTTCTATCCCTTTTCCTTCTTTGACAGTGTCTGGAAAACAATAACACAAACCATCATGGATCGTTTTTGATTGTTTGAAGTTTGTGACGAAGATTACCATGTTTCTAGTGCTTGACAAACAATAAGCAGTGAAGCCAAGGAAAGTTGTTCTGACATCACCGCGTTCACCCTAGGCCTAAATGTTTAATTTTTCCATTGGGGGCCTTGGAACTTGTTGGAGGTTGGGGCATAAGATCTATGAGCAGTTTTGTACAGCAACAACAGCATCCTTAAACCTGGGTGTCACTGAAAAATGTCTAGCGGAATAAGTCAAGCCAGTCAAGCAGCTGAAACATCAGTCAGTTTCACCAGAACCCAAGTTCCTGAAGACAGTGAAGAAGATGATATCCAAATCACTTTGGCACCGTACATACAATCTTACCTGGCTTACAGTGGAAGTCGTGTTGGTTGCTGTGGCCTGTGTTTGCCTGTTCCATTTGAACGTGCAGCACATCGCTCCTGGTGGGACCCTCGATTTGATTCTGACATCCTCGAAGGACAGTACAAACGCAGCTCATTTCCTCAAATACGATTAAGGTTCAGGTGAGAATAATGTTTTGTCATGTTCTAAAGTGTGATTATCTGAATCAATGCTCTTCAATTCATCTTAATGTGTCTGGGAGTGATGTTTGCACACCTCTGCCAGCCAGATTGTATATGGTGCAACAGGTGTTTGTTTTATAGTACATTCCGACATTCCATTCTACTTGTACTTGGCGTAATTTTTCCTGTTTTGTTTTTCTTTGTCTAGATACGCACTCCTCTACATTCTGCTGGTTTCACTGTCGTGGCTTTTGTATTTCCTGGGCACCGGCATCCAAGGAATAACCTCATCAGAATGGCCTATAATCTGTGGGACCTTTGCAGCCTTAGCTGCTACTACCGCAACTGTTTTGGGCCTTACCTACACAGAGTATTACAAAAAAATTCACCTGCCTATCTCAATTATTATATCTCTTATCATTTGCTCCTTCTCATTATTTTTTGTCTGGAGTACTACTGCTTTGGACATGACCCCCGTTGGCCAGTTTTCTCTTTGTATTGAAATACTATTATTGATTTACACTGTGATTCCTCTGCCGCTGTATGTGTGTGTGGCGATTGGTGGAGCATACTCAATAGTTTTTGAGTGCCTAACGGCTCATCTTGACTCAGGCCCCTGTTTGGTAAGCACTATGACAAACGTGATTAAGAGGTTTTGTTATGATAATGAGGACACACTTACGGCATTTGCTGCCTACTTTGCATACCGGGGTTTGTCTCTCATTCATTCCTCGTTAGCTTCCCATTCCAACCTTAAAAACAAAAAAAAAAGTAAAAAAGAAATTTATACTTTTATTTATATTTTTAAATTTTTTGTTTCAGAAATTTAATGTGCCTGATGCAGCTGCTGCAGAGTTATCTCGCTACGATAGGTTTGGCCTTCCCATTCGCATTGTTCTTCAGCTCTGTGTGCATGCCATTGGCCTCCACATCCTTATTATGACTCATGTTCGTATGCGAGGCACCTTCATGAAAGTTGGCCAGTCCCTCCTTGTGCGCAAACAGCTTGAAATGGAAAAACAATTGAAAGAAAAGATGATTCAGTCGGTCAGTTGATTACGTTAATTAATCCTTTTAATGTGTCGAATCACATTTGTTTATTTCATTTTGTGCTCTGTTTAAAGGTGATGCCTCCCAAAGTGGCTGCATGGCTTTTGCAAGAAGGCTGTCTTGGAGATGATGAGGCAGCTAGTGCTGATGGTCACAAGAGAGGTTCAAGCGGAGACATAAGATCTTTATTCAGACCCTTTAATATGAATGCTATGCACAATGTTTCAATTCTGTTTGCGGACATCGTTGGTTTTACAAGAATGAGTTCCAATAAAAGTGCTGAAGAATTGGTACAAATTCTTAACGACTTGTTTGAAAGGTGATTATTGACCTAACTTTATTTATTTTTAATGATTTCTTTGTTGCTGTTTTCAATTTCTTTGATTTTAAATGAAATGTGCAGATTCGACGAACTATGTGAAATTCATGGATGCGAAAAAATATCGACCCTTGGGGATTGTTATTATTGTGTATCAGGTTGCCCAGAGCCTCGACCAGATCATGCCAAATGTTGTGTTGAGATGGGATTAGGTATGAAACCTGGATGATGTTGACTTTGCTGGGGTTCTTGCTTTAAGTTTCCTCTTTAACACTCAACGTGTTTCTCAGGCATGATAGAAGCAATACGGCAGTTTGATGCAGAAACACATGAAGGTGTCAACATGAGAGTTGGGATACACACTGGCACTGTACTCTGTGGAATAGTTGGAACGAAGCGCTTCAAGTTTGATGTCTGGTCCAATGATGTTTCTCTTGCTAATAGAATGGAATCTACTGGAAAACCTGGAAGAGTGCATATTTCAGAGAAAACAAGAAATTTCCTTGGTGACATGTACATCCTAGAGGAGGGAGAAAGCATACACGGTATGACCGCTCACATTATTTGGTGCCTGTCAGAGTTCTCTAAGAAAGAATGCACACTAATTTCACTCATTTGTTTTTCAGACATGAAATCGTTCTTCATTTTGGGGCGCAGAGGAGATAAGATCCTTCAAGTTGCGGAAGGAAAAACCAAGTCGCACACCACTTCCAATTCCTCCACCCCCACCAAAGTTGTCTCATTGCCTTCCCCTCGAGCTCCACAGTCATTGCCGGTTACTCCTGTCCAGGCTGCGTCTTCCAAACAACCGTCCCCGCCACCTATACCCACTGTTGAATCTGTTCACAACTACTATCAACGAAGAGATCGAGTTTATTCTTGCCATGTCACAAGACCATCAAGGCCCTCGACTTATCTTGCCCTTGCTCCTTTGGAGGCCAAAGCTAGTTCTTTACCAAGTATTCTTGATTCTGGTTGGTTTCTAGGCTGTTAATAAACCATGTTTTAACTGTTTTCTCAAAGTAAATTTAACTTTTGGATTTCTTCAGATGTAGACGGCGACGCTGAGAGTATGGAAGCTGGAAAGGCCTCTGCCCGACTTCCCAATCATCGGACCAAGAAATTTGTTAAGAAGTCTCCCATTCGGACTCCTCCAAAAATTAGTCTTGACCCACAACATTCTCTGAAGGTAACTCATAATTTTGTATGATTTTTCAGAATGACTTTAATTTAAATTTTCAGCTTTGCATTGTGATTTTGTTTAGACCCAAGACTCACTAAAAACTGGAGAGGCTTCTTCTCTTATTGGTGGTGTTCATCTGGATGTGGCAAATGAAGATCAGCTAACAAGGTGTTACTCTGTTAATTCACGGAAGGATTCTGGAATAAGAAGTAACAGTCGTCGCAGTAGCATTCAACAACAAGTGAGAGCTTAAAATGGATTCATGCCTAATTTGTACAGTTGCAATTTCCATAATTTCAAAATTTTTCCTATGTTTTAATTTATTACAGTTGTTTGTCATGAATGGTATTACTCAAGGAGACCTTCTGACTCATAGAGTAAGTGGGTACTACACGTCTAGTCAATCAACTCTTGACAATGGTAAGCTGGTTTGTTTTAGTCATTTATGTTCTTTAGATCAATATTTCTGTTTGAAATTTACCCTGATTCTCTTTTTTGATAGAATCCTTGAATGGAGACCTTGACCACATGCCATCTGCAGATCATATGGGGCACTGTTTCCATCAACTTCGCAAACAGTCTGATCTTCAACTCATCCGATGTGTACAAGATAATGTCAAGTCAAACCGCAGCTATTTTGTAAAGCCTCCTCTTTCTAGTATTACTCTTTTCTTCCGACAAAATGAGATGGAGCGTGAATACAGAGATACTGCTCATCGCATATCAGACAGACATGGTGACTCACCACCAACACTAGCTACCTCACGATTTAACACCTACTTTGATATCTTCATCTCAGCATTGGTATGTTAATGCTTCAAAAAACCATTGATATTTTTCTTGTTCATGTCATCATCAATATACTGTGGTCTTTTAACTTTTATTTCTCTCCTCTTGATCATCATCTAGGTGTATTCAGCAATTGCTATGTCATTGTTCTTCCTTTATGCTGCTTCTCCAATGTGGATTGCAGTGTTTGTCACAGCCACTGTCATTCAAGTATTTGCTGTATGTTTGTGTGCCCTGTTGTTGTGGACACCTCTTGGCACTCTCTCTGATGAGAGCCCCGCCAGTCAGTGCACTGAGGAAGCTTCCACTGGTTCCCACTTGCTGGTCATATGCAAGTCACTCGTGGAAAAATTCTCTGGATGGTACCCTTGGCATGTTTGTGGAGCGATACTGGTGAGATTTCATGCAATGTAGTTCTACTACTAAAACTTTCTTCTTTAAAAATTTAATTCCTTTTTTTTAAAATAAAATGTCAATGTTTCATTTTTTAAATTGATTTTTAGGTAAGCTTGCCAGCAACATCAGTACTTGCTAATTTTTCATGTCCGTCATTAGCTCTGGGAAATGAAACACTAGGAAATGCAGAAACAGCCCAAGCTTCTGCCATTTTGGAACTTAGTCACGATTATTATTTTAGTTATGTCCTATTTTTGAGTATTGTTCATTTTTGTAACTTTACTCAATTGAATTGCTGGATGAAGAGCTTTTTGGCTACTCTGACGGGAGTCATTTTCATTTCTCTTGTTGCTAGTCAGGTGAGCTAATCTGTTTTATCAAAATAACTTGTAACCGTACTTCATGATGAAAAAAATATCACAACAAACGCTTGTTTGAAAACCATTTATTTGTGTAATTTTTTTTTGTACTATGTACTAATGTTTTGAATTTTTCATTCAGGTCTGCAGCAGTGTACCTGTGATTGATCCCACAGTGCCTCAACAGCCACGTGCCATTTCTTTTTCTGCCAGTCTGGACGCCAACCAACTATCTGGGAGTGTTGCGATACCATTTATCACAGCCAAAGCCAGGATTTCGCTGAATGAAAGGGCTGCTCGTAGTGTTCATGGCCTTGATGTTGAAAACAGTCTCAAGAGAGAGGCCAGAGCAATTGTCATTGAATGTCCTCCAAACAATCTGCCAAAAGCCAATTTTCATGAAGCTGAAATTTACCTTGATGTCATTCTTTTACTTTTGCTTGTGTGGTTCCTCAATCGTGAGTTTGAGATTTCATACAGACTTAGTTTCCATGGCAATGCAGTCGCTGTTAGAGACAAGGCCAAAGTTCAAAGCATGAAAGTGAGTAGTATTCCTGACTTTTATAATTTTTTGTGGAAGCTGTTGTATCCTCTGGATCCATGTAGAATAACTACTTGTCATTTTTATAGGATCAAGCAGATTGGCTGCTTCATAACATTATTCCTCGACATGTTGCTGACCAGTTGAAAAATACTGCAAAATATTCTGAAAACCATCACTTGGTGGGAATTATATTTGCTTCCATTGTTAATTTTAATGAAATGTATGACGAAACCTACTTAGGCGGAAAGGAATATTTGCGGGTCTTGAATGAATTGATTGCTGATTTTGATGAGCTGCTTAGCAGGTATCATTAAACCTTTATCACATTGATTACTTAATTGGTCGTCTTGTGTTATCACTTTTACCTTATCATTTGGTTTTAATGCCTGTTCTTTTTGTGTCAGACCTGAATTCTGTAATGTTACCAAAATCAAGACTATTGGAAGCACTTATATGGCTGCATCTGGACTTAATCCACATTTTCGTAGCCAAAATAAATTCGAACATCAACATCTTTTCCAATTGGTTGATTTTGCTGTCGCTCTTCAAGGTGTAATTGACTCCTTCAATCGGGACCTACTTGAATTCAATCTCATTCTCCGGGTGGGCTACAATCATGGTGATATAACTGCTGGCGTAAGTATAAATTGTATTTTTCAAAAAATAAATTGTCAGCATTGCTGCTGGCTTGATCAAATAAACATATGTTGCTTTACTTCAGGTGATTGGCACAAGAAAACTATATTATGACATTTGGGGAGACGCCGTTAATATTGCAAGCAGAATGGACTCAACGGGTGTGCCTGGACGTATTCAGGTGGGCGAAGACTGTTTGGAGATTTTAAACAAGCAGTATGAGTTTGAACAACGTGGTGTTGTCTATGTCAAAGGCAAAGACAACATGAATGTTTATCTGCTTAAAAGTGCCAGGGGCAATGATGTGGAGATTTCTGAGAGTTGACAGCCCTTTGATGAACATAAACTTGCTGTTTTTTTTTGCCTACAAAACGATATTTTTAGATACATTTCATGAGAAACACAAAGTTGCCAGCTGTGATGTTATGTGATGTATTCTACAACCTTGTGTTTCTTTCAAAATGTTTTAAAAGCTTTATTTGTTTGGTTCATCTGGTCTGTATGTACTACAGGCATAAACCTATCTAAAAATGAAACAAAAAAAAACTAGATAAAAAACTAACTGGAGAAAGCAACAAGGAAAAGAAAGACTCAAATTTTCTGAAAGTAATTAACTTTATTTGACGGTGTTTGTAATTAGCAGAGACATTTATTTGACCTTGTATCAAAGTGTACTTCCCAAGGTTGGTGCTTTTTATACTCATATTTTTGCCTAAAGATACAAATCTGTTTCGATGTTTTTAAGCATCATGTATTTTTACTATTTTTACCAATTCTATTGTAACTATATCAAAAGAAATATTTTTACTAAGGTATATGATGCTATTCACCATATGACCAATTTTATTTGTGGAACTTGAATGTTCTGCAAGCTGTTTGAAACAATTTATGTGCCTCTGCAGGTGTATTTTGCTGAGGTAACTTCTATAGTTTATGAAATATGTATCCCTACTGAATGTTTTAGAGTATTAATGGTGCTGTGAGTGTGTGTGTAGATTGGCCATGTCTACAGCAAGGCGCCTGCTATCCTTACTAGTTCTTCTGTTTAATGAATTTGAAGGAAGATGCATCTTGTAGCATCACAGACATTGGAGCTTCCATATAAATTGTCAATTTTTTTTTCCAAAGTAGTAGCATTATTTAATATTACGTATGTTGTTCACTCATGCTTGTTTCCGTGCAGCTTTGCGGCTTTCTGTTTTGTCAATCGTTCCAGGCTTTTGCTTCAATTTCAACTTTTAAAGTTACTAGTTTTCTTTTAGTTTGGAAATATCATTATTATCAGCTCATCGTGGAGCTAATAAATTGTTCCTAATGTCATTTACTTTTGGCTATACGGTTACCTGTCTTTGTTTTATGTTTAAGGCTCTGGTATGGATCCTTTGTAAACTTTTGTTTCTTTCAGTGCACTGTTAAAACGATGGTGTCTTCCATGAAATTTCCTTCCTCCCTATATAGTTCAAAGTAGAAGGAAATATTAAGAAAATGACTTTTGTACAGTGTACCTGTAGGCTCTTGATTTGACCTCTAATAAGCGATTTAGGTTCTTGACTTCTGTTTCTGTTGTCAGTTGTCTTAAGTAATATCTAGCAAATGATTTCGTTGCACATGAATGTGGACAGAAATCTTGTGTTCATGATAACTTATTGAATTTGCAGCAGTTAATGTGTTTGTTACCATGTTATGGGTTGCGGCTGGCAAGGGCGAGGTAATTCATAGTCTAGAATGGGTTTCGACTCTCAGGAGGGCATATAATGCCATAACTATATCAGAGCGAAGTCTTTACTTTAAGGAAAAGTATTTATAAAAATCAGTCATTTTATTTTTCCTGTGGGCCATTTGTTATCAAACCCACCTTAGTTGTGGTTTTGTTTGTGTTTTGTTTGTTTGTTTTTAAACTTTTGTTGTTGTGCTGTGCTTTGGTCTATTAAGGGTAGGGATTTAATTATGAGCAGTGAACAATGTGGAGTTAGTACAGAGAATTTGTCTCTTCTGCCTATTTTGTGTTTGTCCTTTTTGTTGTTTGGTGCTGTATTATTTCTTTTTTTTTCAAATTTGTGTTTCTTTGATGTTTTTTAGAAACAAATTTGCTAAGCTTGTCTTCATTGTTGCCCTGTCTTTTCTTTTTTTTCGTTTGAGTGAGAGTACGTATGTTTGCATGTGTGTGTGAGTGTGTGTGTGTCAGGCACCAATTAGCCATTTGTTATTTTATTTTGGAAAAGAAAACAACAAGATCTCAATTTTCTTTAAATCCATGAGCAGTTGCAACTCGAAACAAAATGTTACTGCCCTTAAGTCCTATTCTGTGAGAGAAATTCTTGTCACAACTCATGGGACTTTGTTTGACTGCATCCTGTTGTAAATCTTGGTAGTGTCTTGAAATGTTGTCATTTAAATTTGCTTGTGCCTGCAATGTATGGCAGAACGATTTTTTACCTGACAGCAGAAACAAATCAACCATTTGTACATTTGAACAGAATTATCCATTCCAGAAGAACAATCACTTGTGTCAGAGCATCTCATTTACTCATCCTTCTGTCTGAATTTGAACAAATTTACAGTATAAGTATTTATTAGTGGAAGAATGGAAGAATCAGTATTTTGGTTGTTAAGGTATCTTGTATATCTTGGTACTCTTTCTTTTCAATGTTGTTATGCATCATGTTTTGTTTGAACACTTGCATTTTTCCATTTTAAATGTTGTGACAAGCTGAAATAATGTAGTTATTGGTTGGAACCTGAATTGTTTGCATACATTTCAGAATGGTGGAAATGTTGTTCTGTACATGCACTTTCTTTAAATTTATGTGGCTTATTTGTTTTCCCAGTCACTTTTATTTCCTTTCTACTGAAAACTTAGTGATTTTATGAACATTCTTTTCTCCTTTTCAAGTCATTTGTCAGTAAGTTACCTAATTTTGTTGCATTCAGTGCGGTGACGTTCCTTTCTAGTAATGAGGCATTCCGGTTACTGTATTTATTAATAGTTAAATATTTCCTTGATTGTGATTGCAACATCAGTTGCTACAACTTTTATTTTATTTTGTGTAACTCCCATTACAATATGTAGGTGAATCTTTTTGTATCTATTACTTTGTATAGTTATTGTGTTCCTATAACGGAGAGCCATCAGACTATATTCCCCGTTTTGTTTCTTTCTTTTTTTTTATGTCTCATTTGGAACAAGTGTTTCAGTATATTTCAACACAAGTTATCCATGCACTTTCCTGATATCGGCTTTAATGCAGTTTTAAATTATAATCTGTCAATTGGATTTTATCGCTGAATATTTTACATTCTTAATTATTGAATTCTATATTTGAGTGCATGAGCAGTATAATGCTTTTTAGTGTGTAGTTGTGTTTTTATTACTATTTTAGTTCTTTCCTTTCAAAATCTGTAACTTTATTCGTATATCTCATGATTCCTATATTGGAGTACTGATAATGCTAATGTTGATATTTGAAATCTGATGATTTGTAATGTGACGGATGAGTTACACTGAAAGAGGATGGTATATTTATGTTGAGGCCCCAATATATTTTATATACCTTCATTATATTATTACAATTTACAGTGCTGTGTCGATTACTGTTATGGAAAACAAAACATAACGTTGGAAATAGGTCCTATAAAGGTTACTTGTACGTTAACTGCTTCCTGTTTAAATGATTAAAATAACTAACTTGCTTGCTTGCATGCTTGTGCAGAAAACATAAGAATTTTTTTTTCAAGGATCGTTAACAAGAGTAGGTATGTGGATTTTTATCTGTATGATTGAACTGTACAAATTCAATGAACTACTTTAAGCTAGAAAAAAGGTATTTCTCAAACTGACTACCAGGTCTCATCAGGAGTTATTTAAGACAAAATTTCACTCGCATGTGATGGAAACTTTTCAATGAATCTAATAAACGTCGTACTGTGCTGCGTAACAATTTTTCATGTTTTTTATTGGCCAAGCCATTAGATTAAGACTAAACACAAACCAACTACCCCAAATACTACCCTAAATACTACCCTGGAAACCATCAGATGGTACTGAGGTGCCAAAAATTGCAGGACAACTGGAACCAGAGCATGCTGACAGCAAACCGTCGAGAGAATGTTGGGCAGAGCACCTCACAGTACCACTCCGAGGGACACTCTGAAAATCAAACTCGCATTTGCCCCTCTGTGAAGAAGCAATCTGAGTTTTTCTCATCGGGGCTCAAGCTCAAAAGGTTTCCCGTCTATCGCCAGGGAGAGAAAGTTTAGAGCCAAAATGAACCTCCAGTGTCTAAATTCGCCGGAGACTAGGGTTGGAATCTCAAGTATAACAACTTATTCCTCAGCCAGATTGTTGATATATCTTAAACCTAGAACCATTGCGGAACCGCTGGCGGGTACACGGTACCATCACCCTAAGATTGATCGCACCGCCTCGTAGTGGCTCGGGTGGCTGAGATGGTTGGGGTGTCGGCTGGCGGCAGGAAGACCAGGGTTCGACCCCCAGGTGAGTAAATCTTTTCCCCAGTCTACTTCCCGAACCCGGTACCATCACTCCAAGATAGGACATGTCCGGCAGGTGTGTTGTCGTAGCTCAGGTGGCAGAGCGATGGGCCGTGGAGGCCATGCGACAGTTCCCGTTGGACCTGGTTCGCCACCAGCCAGGTCAGGTTACCAACCCTTTATGATTGCCCCTACTCCGCTCTCCTTCGGGGAGGGGGGGTAGGGGGGGTGGGGGCCGACGGCGGGAACTCTTTTGCATCTTAGAGGAGAATACGCGCCCTCACATCGCATAGAGCCGCGCCGCCACCCATTAGAGACGCGCGACGGGGGCGAAGGAAGGTACCCTTCTGCACCACTTGAGGTGCTCCCAGTCGTGCTCACTCGGGGCGGCTACTTCCTCTGCGCTCTCAGCCACCAAGCCATTAGTAGTGTATTCGCCGTTGTTGTTACTGGTGTTACCGGGTTCAAGGTTCAACTGAGAAAAATTCCACCTGGGATTTGAGACGTCTCTCCTCTTCATATATGTCCTCAAGGGTGTTGGTTCCATATTCACTCGCTTGTTGGACCTGAAAGAACGATCAAGATAGGTCGAAGGAAACGCCTGCAACGGCAAGGGCAGGCAAGCCCGCAACACATCGGTGCACCGTTTGGCCTACCCATTACCATTACGGGCTAGACCACAACTGATCGTATGCCATTTCCGGCCCGACACAAGCCCGCCTGCACGACAAAACGAGACATGGCCGTCCTTACTAAGGTGGCACTCTATCCCGGCGGGAAAGAGCCTCAAGCGACTACAAGCCTCCACTCGCAGTATGACCAGTCAGTCAGAAGGGAGGTGTACATCCCCCCGAGGGGGTTATGCAGATCTCCACCCCAAACAGCCGCGCACAGTGGGCAAGAAGACCGGCGGAGGCGGCCAAAACACCACACGCGTTTTGAGCTCTAAAGGCGCTGATCAGGACTCGGCAGGACTCGAACGTGTGACCCCACCAATGGATTCCCCGTTCGGAGAGCAATCCTTTGATGGGGCCACACGTTCGGTTCGGGTCCTGTCTAGCGACTCTGGGCCCCAAACGCGCCTAGAATTTTGGCTGCCTCTACCGGTCTTCTGGCCCACTGTCCGGCCCAGCACATCCATAACAGGATCCCTCGCAAGGAAACGCCTGCAATGGAAAGGGTAGGCAAGCCCGCAACACGTCGGTGCCCCGTTTTGCCTACCCAACATTACCATTACCATTAAGGGCTGGTCCACAACTGATCTAACCATTGCACTTGAGATGGATTCATTGGGGGAAAAAAAAGGAACAAACTAGAACCAGACCCGTGTCCGTAAGCAAAGAAATGTCATAAACAACCATTCAATGATGTCGAGGAATTTTCACAGCGCGCGTTCAAAGTTCAAAACGCTGCAATTTAACCGCGAAGCTAGAGGTTCTTTTACTTCACGAAAAGTTCTTGGCTATTTCAATTGGCATTCATTTTTAATGCCCTTGTTGGTAAAAACATAAATTCAGCCCAAAACCGATGTTGCTTTCACGCCTTGTGGAAGTGCACAGGGTCCTTCCACAGGGCGCCTATTTTGCACGGTGGCATTAAAATGCGTTACACCCCGAAAGGGCATAATTTTTATAGCCTTGCCTTCTCAATGCTTCTAGCACTGAAATTCAAAGGGTGAGACATCTGACCGATTTTCGGTGATACAAAAAGTATGACCGAAAAAGGGTCATACTTAAATGTATGACCAAAAAAAGGTCAGACATTCATTAGCGAGACTGGCTATTGTTTAGCTTGGGGATTAATCAGCCTTTACCTGTGATACACTCTAAAGTATGACCATTTTTCGGTCTCGGTCATACATCGAAGTATGACCCTTTTTCAGTTTTACATTTCAGTATGACCCTTTTTCGGTCGTGCGTTTCAGTAAGACCGTTATAGGGGTCAAAAGTCTGACCTATCTATTTTCGGTGAGGCTACTCACCGCAAAGTACTCCTTTGCCCTGACATCCGCACGGAGCACTTTTTCCACCAGCAGCTCATCTGCATCGTAGAAGAATGTGGTGCCGCCGATCGTCACGTAGGTGTCACGGCCCACCACCTCCCTGTCGACCCGCACGGCCCCCGCGGCCAGCAGGGCGGCCCCTCGGGCCACCGCTTCGTCGGGGCTCAGCGCCTTGTGCAGCTTGCCCGGCAGCAGCTTGTCGATCTCGGCGCGGAGGTGGGGGATGCGGGACGACCCGCCAACCAGCACCACGTGGTCCACACAGCTTCCTTCCGGGAGAGAGCCCTGCACAGTGGGCCAGAAGACCGGTGGAGGCGGTCAAAATCTCGGACGCTTTTGGAGCTCCAAAGTCGCTAAATGGGGCTCGAACCGAACGTGTCACCCCAACAATGATGGATTGCTCTCCGAACGAGGAATCCTCTGGTGGGGTCACACCTTCGGTTCGAGTCCTGCTTAGCGACTCAGGAGGTCAAACGCGCCTAGAGATTTGGCCGCCTCCACCGGTCTTCTGGCCCACTGTGGCCTGCAAAGCCACAACAGTGAAGAAACGCAAGCCAGTCATAATGCGAAGCTATTTCTTAGTACCGTGCGATACAAAACAAACATAATGCTGAAAAATTTGTTGGTTCCGTTGAGGTTACTGATCACAGGATGGCTCAAGGACTAGATTCTGTATCAGCTCAGTAAGGGCGTACTTTTCTTACCGTGTACTTCTCACAACTTGCCCCTGCAGGGTGGAAAAAATTGGGGTTGGGGGTGTAGCCCCAATGGGTCCAGAGGATCCACGCTTATCAAGGAAGTTTTAAACCCCTTGACAACTCAAGACTACGTTCGTCGTAGTACACCAAGAAGGGTAGCGTGAATTACCATTGCGTTTTTCAGGGTGCGCGAAATCTCGTGCAGGATGAAATCGAACAAGTCACTGCATTCCGCCTCGAACAAACTTCTTGGTATGGTGTGCTTCAGCTCCTTGTCGATGGCGGGGAGGAACGTCGATATCTCTACGTGAGGAATCCTCGAAAGCTTTTGCTTGGCCTTCTCCCAAGTGGAGCGAAGGATCTCCATGGACCGGTGGTCCTCCACCTCTTTCCCGTGTTCCTCCCTGATGACCTGACAAAATACATGGGCGGGATGGGTCATGCGCCAATATCCAAAAAAAACAACACACAATCAAAAAAAATTTCTGAAAACATTATGCGTTTTGTGACCGTTTTACAAAAGCCTCGCATTTAAAATGATGTGAGACGCACGACAGCGTCCTAAATTGCAACGTGTTTTTTTAGTGCAAGGCATTTGTGAAAAATTGAGCATGTTTGCGAACCACAAAAATTCATGCGCAACAAAGCACACTTTCGTGTTCAGTTAAGCACAGATTCGTGCATTTTGAAACACTTCCACAATTTTGTGCAGCGCTTGTTCCCCAAAAACATACGTACATAGCGTGCCACATGTCACACAGTGCACTGTAAGAAAAAAAATTGGAATATTTGAAGGTATCTCAGAAAAAAAAACATTGCTGCAAAAACCATAGTGAATAAACAAAAATTCTTCGCAAATTCACGAAGAATTTTTCGTACACTTACGAAGGACATTCGTGAATTTACGATAAGAGTTTGTGAACCGTCGTGGATTACCAGCGCCGTAACTTAACAAAGGTTCTTCGGGAACATGCCTTTTTTACCAGAGCACCTTTGTAAAATTCTGGGTATTCGTTTTTACAGTGGCTACGTAGTGTACATACAGTCCACAGGTAGTTGATCATCCTGATGTCGAATTCGTCGCCGCCTGGGAGCCGCTTGCCGCAAGTCCTCACGACTTGCACCCCGCCGCCGTCCACCATGACCACCGACACGCTGCCGCCCCCGCCGCCGACGTCCACGACGACCACGAGCTTGGGGCCCTCCCGGTCGTGCGCGAAGGCCAAGGCAGCAGCCGTCGTCTCGTTGACGAGCCGCACCTCCGGCAGCCCCGCCAGCCTCGCTGTGACGAGAGAGCCCGAAAAAAAAACATTTCAATCTGTCTGCGGCAGTGGAAGGCCCTTTTTCAAGGGGGTGGGAGAGGAGCGTCTCCTGAATCACAGTGGGCCAGAGATCGGTGGAGGCGGTCAAAACTCTAGACGCGTTTTGAGCTCCTGAGTCGCTAAATGGGACTCGAATCAAACGTGTGACCCCCCAATGGGTTGCTCTCGGAACGAGGAATTCATTGGTGGGGTCACACGTTCGGTTCGAGTCCCATTTAGCGACTCTGGAGCAAAAAACGCGTCAAGAGTTTTGGCCGCCGGCACCGGCCTTCGGGCCCACTGTGAGACTTCACTCGGCGACGACTGAAAGGGTCCCTTTCCACGAGAGATGGACACTAAATATGTACCTGCATCAATGATCCCTTGTCGCTGTGCGATGTTGAAGTACGACGGCACGGCGATCACAGCCTTGCGGATGTCGCGGCGGTTCAGGTGGGCTTCTGCGAACTTCCTGACGTCCAGCAGCAGCGTGCCCGCGATCTGTGACAGACACCACCGATAAAAGTGACTGTCAAGTACACACTGACAAGTGCATACACTGCGAATCTAAGGACCAGAAGACCGGCGCCGGCGGCCAACTAAAGTCTTAAAGCGTTTCGAGCTCCAGAGTCGCTAAACAGGACTCGAACCGAGCGTGTGACCCCACCAATAGACTGCTCGCCGAACGAGGAATCCATTGGTGGGGTCACACGTTCGGTTCGAGTCCCGTTTAGCGACTCTGGAGTTCGAAACGCGTCTAGAGTTTGGGCCGCCTCCAGCGGTCTTCTGGACCACGGTGCGTCAGCTCCTGCTTTACCTCTTCGGGCTCAGGATCAGCGCTGGACGCCAAACGGTTTGACATAGAACAACGAAATTTGGTGACAGCCTTCCTGAGATGTCTGGCTATGGTGGTACCTCAATCACTTTCAAAAACCATTTTAAGTTGTATTGTTACACACCAAAAAATCTGTTCAATTTTTTTGGTCAAAATTGTTCAATTTTGAACGTTAAAAAAATAATTAAAATTTACCAATGCAAAATATTTTGCTACCCACCATAGCGGCATGTCGTAGGAGCTTCCACGCTAAATCTCCCCGCTGTAGCTCAAAAACTGCGGCCTAGAGGCCTGCAACCGTTTGCAATTTCATGTTCCGAGAAAAACGCGATCAAAGTTGGGGAAACTGGGCTTTTCCCCTATGCATGTTTTCGGCCCACAACCTCCTAAAACTGCAATTTTTTGAATTTTGGAATGCGGTTTTCACCATTCGACGCAGAATAGAATGGTCAATAATATAAACTAATAAAAAAAAGTTGCAATTTTTGACCATTTTTGAGTGATGTCCCCCCTTAATGGGACTCGAACCGAGCGTGTGACCCCATCAATGGATTGCTCTCCGAAGGAGGAATCCAGTGGTGGGGTCACACGTTCGGTTCGAGTCCTGTTTAGCTACTTGGAGCTCAACACGCGTCTGGAGTTTAGAGCGCCTCCACCGGTCTTCTCGCCCACTGTGCTACGTACCTGGCGAGGATCATAGTGACGAGGACGGCGTCGGACGCCCGGAAGTGGATGCAGAGTTTGGTGACGGCGCAGGCGGTGGTGGCGGCGGGGACGGCCCACACGGTCCACACGTCCTCGCCCCAGGCCTCGTCGTAGTCGTACAGCGTGAGGCTGCCCAGGCACGGCGCCAGGCGGAGCACGGCGGCGACCAACCGGGTGTTCTTTGTCTTAGGTGGAATGCTGAAAACAATTTTTAAAAAAAGACTGTCACGGCGCTCTCTCTTACACCGCACCTCTAGGTTTAGATTGGACTGCAAGCACGAATCCAGGACTGTTGCTCTAAATTCCTTTGTGTGAATTGTTGGTTCGGAGGCTCACACAACTTTGCGCACCCCAACCCCAAAGAGAACAGGTAGTAAAAGTCAAATGAATCGGATGGTGTCTATGCGACATCGAAATGGACAAAAGTATTGACAAAAATCCACTCAGAAAACCTTACAAACTATTTTGGGCCTTACAAAGAAAAGTAGTTTGTATAACAAAGTATTTTGAGCATACGTAAGCTTACAAAGAAAATACTTCGTAATTTACGAACTATTTCTTCGTATAACAAAGTATTTTAGTTTGTTATATGTATGCTCAAAATACTTCGTAAGGTTTTAAGAGTGTCGCTCAATTTTTTGGTGCTTGTTTTTGACTTTTTTTGTTCTTCCTGGAAAGCGTCAGGGAAATTTCCCACAAATTTCCCACAGGATAAATATCAAATCCGAAAAATTGAGTGAGGCCACGGATCAAACTGTTGATTTTGTGGAGTTCTGAAAGTGCGGCGTCGCACAGTGGATTTGCCAGAAGACCGGTGGAGGCGGCCAAAACTCTAGGCGCGTTTTGAGCTCCAGGGTCGCGCTAAACAGGACTTGTACCGAACGTGTGACCCCACCGCTGGATTACTCTCAGAAAGAGCAATCCATTGGTGGGGTCACACGCTCGATTTGAGTCCATGTAGCGGCTCTGGACCCCAAAACGCGTCTAGAGTTTTGGCCGCCTCCACCGGTCTTCTGGCCCACTGTGCGGTGATGGAGCTTACGGCTCTGTGTCTCTCAAGCTCTGGTCGCGCCACAGCAGCGGGGTGCAGCGCCGCGTCCCGCCACCTGCGGCAGACGACCCGGCACTTGAGCAGCTCCCTGGGACGCAAGTAGCTGAAGACTTCCAGCAGCTCGTCGTCGGGCAGCATGGAGAGCCGCATCTGCGAGAGACGATTGTTGTCAAGGACTTCGCGGAAAACTGATTTAAGTGTGCATGGATCCACCCACAGTGTTAAACCCAGAGTGGAGATCCTCCTGGTGTCGAGTATTATACTCCATACTTAGATGCTCCACACCCCACAGAACCCCTACATCTCAGCGGTGCAAACGAGGAGAACGGCACACTTTTAGTGTAGGGGCTGCTATATGAAGACTGCAAATTCCACACCTCCGAAAGTGTGGAGAAGTCCACATTTTGTTCCAGAGTGTACGGTACAGGAGAGGTTGAGAGGGCAGTTGCCTCTTTTCACCCCTAGACAGCCACCTGAAAGCTAGGCAAAAAGCCAGTCGTTGCTCTAAGTAGGTGCTCTCTTTCCCAACAGGCCGCCTTTGGATCCACCACGAGCCTGTTTGCATTTCGAAACCTCTTGTCTAGGGGTAAGGCCAAGGGGGGATCAGCTTCCCGCTTCCCACATTCATTGTACAAAATTTGACCACATTCCACATTCAGGTGGCAAAATCACCTGTAAGTAGGCAACATGTGTGGCAAAAACCCCAAAAGTCTTACACATTCTTGCACATTCACACAATCATTGAACACAAAATTTAACAGCGGCTCACCCCTTGGGTAAGGCACGATTTCTTTTTCGTCACTGCGGCCAGACTCGCCGCGCAACGTCTCATACTCTGCAAACTCAAGTGTGTGCCAGGCATGCACTTCTTGGTGCATGCCTGCAGGCACACACTTAAGTTTGCAGAGAGGCTTACCATATTTGGGTTCCGTTTCCGCTCCTTCTTCTTCCGAGTCAGGTGACCGCCGTACAGGCTGGCCGTGGACCTAGGGGCCGCGGACCTGGGCGCTGCCTTCGACTGGCTGGCGGTGCTGGCGGTCGTGGAGACCCTCGTCGTCTCGGGCAGCCGCACTGCAGTGCAAGACCGCCGCGCCGAACGGGTCGGCCGGCCAGGCAACACATCCTGCTGTGATGTGCTGCAGCGGGGGGCCTTGCTTGCCCTGGACCTGGACAAAGAAGGGGTCAGAGAGAGAGGGAGAGAGAGAGAGAGAGAGAGAGAGAGAGAGAGAGAGAGAGAGAGAGAGAGAGAGAGAGAGAGAGAGAGAGAGAGAGAGAGAGAGAGAGAGAGAGAGAGAGAGGCGCAGAGGGAGAGAGACAGAGGGAGAGAAAGAGTAGAGAATGGGAAAAAGAAACAGTAGAGAAAGAGAAAGAACGACATTAAAACTACCTGACACCTTTGTGAGTCTCATATTATTCTAAGTATGTTTATAAGGAGTAGAGGTATCTTCTGCTAAAAAGAGCCCAAAAACACGAGTGCGTGCGGCGATTAGTACCTGGCAGTTGCATCCTAGCAGCTACAGCGGTTTCCAGCCTTTATCCGCTCGCGACCCCAAAATGGTTGCCAAGAAGTTTCGCGACCCCACAGCCGAACATTCGGGACCCGACGCCACCCCATCTTTTCGCTGCAGTACTCACATGGGTGCTTTGTCAAACCTGTTGAATCGGCGCTGGTGTCAGCTGGCGTTTGTTGCGACCATCTCCATGCCGACATGCTGAACGCGGCGGTCTCGACAATACTGTTGCGCCGTGCGCGCCAAGGGCGGATCCAGAGACGGGTTCATGGGGGGGCGACGTCGCGAAAGTTGCCTACCTACAGGGGTAATGTGCGACTTTTTGCCTACCTTTCAGGCGGCTTCACCGCCTTCGGGGGGGGGGGGGGGGGCGACGCCTCATCGCCCCCCCCTTGGATCCGCGCCTGGCGCGCGCTGGCGGCTCCTTACGCCCAGTGGGCCCGAAGACCGGTGGAGGCGACCCGAATCCCGGAAGTGTTCCAAGCTCCAGAGTCGCTAAATGGAACTCGAACCGACCGTATGACCCCACCAATGGATTGCTCTCCGAACGAGGAATCCTTTGGTGTTATTTTTCCGTACGTTTTCGAAATCCCCGAAAAGTTCTCCGGGAATCGTCAGGGTTATTTTAAACAGTGTGCAGTAAATCTCTGCGCTGGACACCAGCGGTTGAGCCGAGGGCAAGACACAAGAGCAAAATAATTGCGTTTCTAAGACATTTAGTTTAAAACAAAAACACATTAACTGGTGATGTCAATTCAAGAGAAAAAGATAAATTGACGTCAATTAAAAACTAAAGACTAGGAGTGTAATTGTACACTAAAAATAACTGAACAGTCAGAATGATTAACAAACAATCAAAAATAAGATGTAAGTAATTGCTACAACATTTCAATGCAGGGCACATTAGCCGCGTCAGCAAACTTGCGTTGCCTCGGGGAACAGTGACATGTTCCTTGACTGATTGATTACAAAATTCTAATAATCACAAACCATAAGTGGCGGAAACAGCAACCAGCCGGCACTATTCCGAGAACCACAGCGCGACAGAGTTCACGCGACAGGATGGTTGTGGCAATGTAAGAATCACAAACCACTCAGTGGCGGGAGGCGCGAACCACTCCATCCGTCTGCCGTTTGGCAAAGCTGTAGCAAGGCTGATCAATTTTCACAGAACATTGTGATAACACTTACGAATAGGCGCATACTCTACTCGGCAACCACATACACTGATAATCTAGGTGTGAGTTCACAAGGGCATACCGGGGGAGCCCCCGAGCTAATTCGCTTCGCGCAGCAGTTAATTTGTTGTACCAAATCGGTACACATTTAAATGACTCGCCAGCGCACTGTGGGGCTCGAAAGCGACTTCAGCAGGCGTTCTGAAGTCGGCGAACGTCGCTCAGAGTCAGGATTCGCATAGCCTCGCTCAGGGCGTCCTCGTTCGGCGTGTGCGTCGCCAGCATGGCGAAGCAGCCCACGCGGTCCGCGGGGCAGCCCGCCGTCTGCGCGAAGGCCTTCCCCAGCTGCTCGGTGGAGCGCGGCCCGTTGGGAGGCAGCAGCGGCGTCGCCAGGGCGCGGACCACGCGGCTACCCACGTCGGGGACGCACTGCTGGAACACCACCAGGCTCAGTCCGGACGACAGTGCGGCGCTCAGGGTGGGGAACTGGCTGCCGTTGAGCTGCTGGGCCTGGAGTTGGTCGCTGGAGACACGCTGGGTCAGCGCCGTGGCGAGGTGCACCAGCTGGTCCCGCGCACGCACCACCGCCTGCGCCGTCACCTCCACGCACTTCGACACCACCGCGCCGAGGTTCTTCTCCCACTCCAAGCTCCACTCACGGAACGTCAGCGTGGTCCTGATCTGGCCGAGCAGCGTGGCTGCCACTTCCTCCGTCGCCGAGAAGGGGTGCTCCTGCAGCAGGTGGGCGCGGTCCGCGTGGAACGCGCTGGGGAAGTCCACCTGCAGCCGGAGTCATCAGTAAGTCAATGCACAGTGGGCCAGAAGACCGGTGGAGGCCGTCAAAACCCCGGGCGCGTTTTGAGCTGCAGAGTCGCTAAGCAGGACTCGAACCGAACGTGTGACCCCACCAATGGATTCCTCGTTCCGAGAGCAATCCATTGATGGGGTCACACGTTCGGTTGAGTTCTGTTTAACGACCCTGGAGCTCGAAACGCGTCTAGGGGTTTGGCCGCCCGCGCCGGTCTTCTGGCCCACTTGGGTTTGCAGTGTATCCATCCCAGGGTACCCACCAGCCTGAAGAAGTCTCCCATGAGTTGGAACAACTTGCCGAAGGCCGCCAGACACACTGTGAACGGGTCGCCCTTCGAGGACGGGGCGAGGGACTTCGCGAGGACGCTGGCGGTCTGGTACAGGTGGGGCCGCACGTCCACCAGGTCGTTGAGGGCCTCCACGACGCCCTGGCGCTCCGCGGAGACGAAGCCGATGGAGGTGGAGTACGTCCGCCACGGGTCGTCTCCCGGCTGCAGCGACGCGCAGGCCCTCCGCAGCACAGCGAAGCTCGGGCTGCCCGCGGCGAACAAGCTCCTCAAGGAGTCGATGGTGCTGAAGAACGAGCCGATCACTCGGTAGGTGTCGTCCTCGCGCAGGCGTCGGTAGCAGGACGCGACCACCGTGTCCTCCAGAGGGACGCCTGCGTTCACCAGCTCCGGGACGGTGTCCTTGACCAATGCCTGCAGGTGGTTGAGGAAGGTCTGTCCCACCAGGCCCGCCGCCTCCGCGCTCACGCCCACGAGCAAGGCCTTCCAGTCGACGTCCGCCTGGCTGCACAGCGACGAGAAGGACTGCAGCAGCGCCGCGCCGTCGTCGTTCCAGATCTAAACAGCAAAGAGGGAGAATTTGTCAGCAGTCTCTTCCGTATGCTCCAGGTGCACAGTGGGCCAGAAGACCAGTGGAGGCGGTCCAAATCCCGGACGCGTTTTGAGCTCCAGAGTCGCTAAATGGGACTCGAACCGAACGTGTGACCCCACCAATGGATTCCTCGTTCCGAGAGCAATCCATTGGTGGGGTCACACGTTCGGTTCGAGTCCCATTTAGCGACTCTGCAGCTCGAAACGCGTCCGGGATTTTGATCGCCTCCACCGGTCTTCTGGCAAACCCACTGTGGAGTGCCAGAAACGGCAGCTCACCTGCACCTCCCGCACCACCAGCAGGCGCTCCACGGGCTGGCCCCGGGCGTCCACGTAGCGCACGGCCAGGGAGGCGAGGCAGCGCGTGTCGTCCTGCCGCGTGTCCACCAACAGCGACATGGCGCCGGCCTCCTTGGCCTCGCGCAGCGTGCGCAGGGCCAGCGCCACGACCAGCGACTGCAGCACGTGCAGCTGTTGCGCCAGCAACGGCTCCAAGCCCGCCGCGGGCAGGGCCTGCCATCCACGAGGGGCGACCACATCGCTGGCCCGAGTCCACAAGTCTCTCATCAACCTCAACACCGTGTCTCTGGACTGCGCGGAGCCGCCTGTGGAACAGAAGCGCAAGAAACTGAGTGAAGCAGACAAAGAAAATCATCGCATGTCGCCAGAAGACCGGTGGAGGCGGCCAAAACTAAGGAGGCGTTTTGAGCTCCAGAGTCGCTAAATGGGACTCGAAGCGAACGAGTGATCCCACCGAAGGATTGCTCTTCGAACTAGGAATCCATTGGTGGTGTCACGCGCTCGGTTCGAGTCCTGTAAAACGACTGAGGAGCTCAAAACGCGTCTAGAATTTTGTCCGCCTCCGCCGGTCTTCTGACCCTTCTGACCCACTGTGCACATGTAAAACATCTTACTTGTCGCCGTTTCGACATCCATATCTTCTGCTTTCTCTCCTGAAGCCTCGTGGGTGGGTATTGTTTGAGGGATGCACTCAAGTTTTACTTGCAAGCCACTTTTACTGCTACCGTTGGCATTGGTTTCTCCCGACGGGAGTAGCATCTGCAGGCCATCTTCGACGCCTGCGTCTGCGAGGACGCGGCATCGTCTCTTCTCGAACTCAGCCGCTGGGCGCGCCGGGAGTGACTGGAGCCAATGTCGATGAGGGGAGGCCAGCTTTGAGTACCCTTTCTGTAATGGAGTAAAAAGGAACAGGATGTAAATAAAAACGTTCGCGCAGGGGACCAACTAACCGGTGGAGGCGGCCAAAATCCTAGACGCGTTTTGAGCCCTAGAGTCGCTAAATGGGGCTCAAAACGAATCTGTGACCCCACCAATGGATTGCTCTCCGGACGAGGAATCCACTGTTGGGTTCACACGCTCGGTTCGAGTCCTATTTAACGACTCTGGAGCTCAAAATGCGTCTAGGCCCCTTCCGGCCCACTGTGGCACATAAAAACCTAAACAGATAAAAAAGGAGAAGAAAAATAGAACATTAATTGTGTTTATCTCCTGCTCGGCAAACCTGTAGCAAGGCTGATGGATCTTCACAACAGAACATTGTGATAAAACGTACAAATAGGCACATACTTTACTAGGCAACCACATACACTGAAATCTAGATCTGAATTCACAAGCGCATACCGGGGGAGCCCCCGAGCTATCTCAAACCCCAAGACGATGCTTCACTTCGTTGTGCCAAATGGGAACGAATTCGGATCACTAGTCGCGTGGGAAGGGCTATTTTACGTCAATGTGGATGCTTGTGTCTAAATCAGGTGGTACCTGTGATTTTCTCACCTCAGTAACTAAATCCAGGGCTGCCTCCAACAAGCTTCTTGCAATAAGTCTGTTGTTTCTCTCATTTTTGATCTCTACCTCTTTTTCATTTAATTCTTTTAGACAGGCTTGAATTTGATCAAAATGAGCTTCCTCATTTTCAACATAAGACACACGATATTTTTTGCTAAGAGCTACCAAACTTTCCTCTAAATCACGGGCGATATCATGTTCATTAATCTGTAACAACCAAAAGAAATAATTAATGGGACAGTCTTAATTACACCAAGTAGCAAAACAAAAAAAAAACACAAGTTCCAAGAAACTTCTTTGCATGGATTGACTCACATGCTTTGCCTGAATTGAGCGAATTTGCTTGGCAAGAGCCGTTTTGGATATCAGCTTTTTGAATTGGTGCTGAGAGCGCTTAAGATCTCTTGCTCGTCGGCACAACTCTACGTGATTGTCATGAAGTGCATTGTACGATGCATTGGGATATTTCTTAATCCAATTATGCACTTCACGGCAGTATTGTTTAAACTCTACGGCTTGGGCAAAGCAGGGTGTTTCTTTGCTGGTCAGCTGGTCAGACAGGGATAAAACGCTCTTTAAAAAACCTACTGCATCAAAAATTTAAACAAAAACAATGCAATGAGAGCATTATACCTCTGAGCTAAGATACACTTCAAGGTTCGTGGACAGTTTTCCCAACAGGTCAGTGCTCATGGATTTCAATTCTTTCTTTAACATGGCTGCTTCTTTGTTTACATCTTGCAACTTGGAACGGAAGGCATCAGCCGAAGCCGATTGAGATTCAGAAGAATTCAACCAACACTCAATATTACTAAACTTCTCAGTATACCTTAATGACCATTTCTCATCCTTTGGACACTAAAAAGAACACAAAACACACAGTAGTCTTACAATATCCTGAATTGGAGAAGGGTAATATTACTGCCCTGCAAAACAATCTCATTTTGTTGGCTAATAACCTGATGCAGAGCAGGGCACTAATTGGTTGATAGGGGGAGAGGAATAAAGCAAAAGATGGGTGCACCAAATGTGAAAAAAAGATAGCTTACCATTTGCAGCGTTTCATTCAGTTTGAGTTCCAGTTTACTTCTGAAATGAGTCTGACAAACTGTATTCCAATCCTTTAACATCTCTGTAGCATCGTTCAGCCTCTCTTCAAAATCAGTGACATGGGCGTTTGGATGCCGTTCGAGCCACTCTGACATCTCTTTAGATTTTGCAGTGTAGAGGTGAAGATGCTTTTCCAGTTTCTCACACACGATGTCGGATGAATTTTGGACATCCTGTTCAAGTGCAGCAGGTAAGACATGACATCAAGAAATGAACAATAACATGCAGAAATTATGGGGCATTCTACTATTGTCACCAACCGCTCATTTGGCAACGTGCGGTAGGAATGCTAGGAGCGCTGTAACTTCATTGATCTCTTGCCCAAGACCTCAAGAGCCCAAGAAACAGTAGTGACCCCCCCCCCCCCCCAACCGGACACACAAAGAACAAAAACAACACCGATAATGTGGCCCAGGGACGCACAGTGGGCCAGAAGACCGGCGGAGGCGGTAACACCCCCAGACGCGTTTTGAGGTCCAGAGTCCCAACACTCAAACCGAACGAGTGCCCCCCACCAATCGACTGCGCTTCGGATGAGGAATCCATTAGTGGGGTCACACGCTCTGTTCCAGCCCTACTTAGCAACTCTGGGGCTCGAAACGCGTCTAGAGTTTCAGCCACCGCCGCACAGTGGGCCAGAAACCGGCGCAGGCGGCCAAAATTCTAGACGCATTTTGAGCTCCAGAAACGCTAAATGGGCCTCAAAGCGAGCGTGTGACCCCACCAATGGATTCCTCGTTCAGAGAGCAATCCATTGGTGGGGTCACACGTTCGATTCGAGTCCCAATTACACGGTAAAAACGGCTCCTGGTTTTCCCAGGAACTCCCTGGAAATCGCCTATGTCTCTACCATAGGCTTCCTGGGAAAACCAGGTACCGTTTTAACCGTGTAGCGACTCTGGAGGGGGCTATGTCGCTAGCGGGCATGACCTGAGGGCCAGGGGGCTGGATGGTCGGTAGCGGGCATCGGAGGGAAAAGTCGCGATTATGTGGGAAAAAAGGGAAAAGTCCTCTAGCGGGCAGGCGGTGGTGTGGCCTACCTCTTGGGCGCTACACCGGCAGACCAGCTACACTGGGTAAAGATTCGTGAAGTGTGCACGCTCCAAAACGCGACCGCGGCGGATCCATTTTGGAGATAGTAGGGACTTTGGTAGAGAACTCCGGATTTGTGCCGGCTTGTCTGCTTCACACTCAGAAAACCTTACAAACTATTTTGGGAAAAGTAGTTTGTATAACAAAGTATTTTGAGCATACGTAAGCTTACAAAGAAAATACTTCGTAATTTACGAACTATTTCTTCGTAGAACAAAGTATTTTAGTTTGTTATATGTATGCTCAAAATACTTCGTAAGGTTTTAAGAGTGCACACGTGTAAATTTTGTCAGAGTTTGTTGGCGTAGCGCCCAAGAGGTAGGCCACACCACCGGCTGCCCGCTAGAGGACATTTCCCTTTTTTCCCGCATTTCGCGACTTTTCCCTCCGATGCCCGCTACCGACCATCCAGCCCCCTGGCCCTCAGGTCATGCCCGCTACCGACCATCTCCCCTCTGGAGCTCGAAACGCGTCCGGAATTTTGGCCGCCTGCGCGGGTTGCTGGCCCACTGTGCGCCGCCTGTCCTCTGGCCCACTGTGCGGCCCTGATGCATACCTGCAGTGACAGCGAGAGGGAGTTCAAAGTCGTCTCCAGGCCGTTCTTGACTCCCTGCAGCCGCGCCCTCCTGCCCGCCTCCAAAGCATCCTTCCTGCGCCTCGCCTCCATCAGGCGCCTCTGCAACTCGGCGAGGTCAGCGGTTTGGCCTGGACCCTTGAGCCACTCGCCGTCCGCGGCCCAGTCAGCGCGCGCGTAAGCGCTGTCCGGCGACACCTGCAGAGGGCAACACCCCACACTGTCAAAATTTGTTATCCCTTGAGGACAAAAACAGAGAGGTCCATCACTTAGCTCAGGAGTATACACAGGATTACTGATTACCCGTGATGACGTACAAAAATACTCAAAAAACTCTACAATTTTGGTTAGCTAAGAGCATTTTTGGCCCATTTTCATAAGAAACCCCTCCCAAAATCCGATAAAAACAGCGAAAATAGCCAGTTAAGGCGTGTGATTACCAAGTGATTACTGGACGAAGTGTACACACGATTACCAGAGTGGTGGACCCCTCGACAAAAACACACTGGTGAAACAAACGCATGGAAATTATGCCCTAGGAAGGCGTAAACGATTTATGCCCCTGGAGCGGCGTGAATCGTTAATGCCTTTTGGAAGGGCATTAAAATTTTGCTTAAAAGTCCTATACCATTCACGCCCTTCCCAAGGGCATAAAACGATTTAAGCCCTTCAAGCGCGTAAGAGAGTGTTTATGCCACAAATGGCGTAACTTTTAAGCCTTTGCTTTACCAGTGCATGCATGACACTTGCGTCACTCGAGAAAGATTCGGCAACGAACCTCTTCCTGCAGGTACTTTGCCAAGTGCGTCGCCAGCTTCTCTCGCAACTCCTTCCTTCGAACTTCCATTGCCGCAGAGATTCGTGCTTTGTTTATCTCCTCCCGTCGGGTGCTGACAAGAGATAATATTTTGTCAGCACGCTCCTTAGACAGATTCGGATCTCTTGAAATGTCATCCAACGTTTGTTTACAGAGGTCCCTCAGTTGCCTCTCCTCTTTCTGCCACGCGTCTTGGACCGTCTGAAAACACAAAAGATCGGCAACTCAGAAGCAAGACGGGACATACGTTCTTAAGAAACCACTATTCTGGGACCAAATCGGCAGTGACAATTTTTATTTAATGATGATTTCTTTTCTGTAAAAGAAAATCGAACAACGGAGAAAATGCCATACCTCCTTGGCCAGTTCTTCACGAAGAAAGTTCTCTAAAGAGTTCTTCGCCTGGGCGCGGTCCATCTCAACCTTCTGCCCATGCATTTGTCTCTCCATTTTTCGCTCTAGGTGTTGAAGCCTCTGGCTGTCGAGGCAGTAAGCTGGTTTGAGCGACATTTGAGACCGATCCGTGCCAAAGCAAAGCATGATACCAGACGTGTTAAAACGAAACTCGTAGAGACGTCTCTCCTCTTCATATATGTCCTCAAGGGTGTTGGTTCCATATTCACTCGCTTGTTGGACCTGAAAGAACGATCAAGATAGGTCGAAGGAAACGCCTGCAACGGCAAGGGCAGGCAAGCCCGCAACACATCGGTGCACCGTTTGGCCTACCCATTACCATTACGGGCTAGACCACAACTGATCGTATGCCATTTCCGGCCCGACACAAGCCCGCCTGCACGACAAAACGAGACATGGCCGTCCTTACTAAGGTGGCACTCTATCCCGGCGGGAAAGAGCCTCAAGCGACTACAAGCCTCCACTCGCAGTATGACCAGTCAGTCAGAAGGGAGGTGTACATCCCCCCGAGGGGGTTATGCAGATCTCCACCCCAAACAGCCGCGCACAGTGGGCAAGAAGACCGGCGGAGGCGGCCAAAACACCACACGCGTTTTGAGCTCTAAAGGCGCTGATCAGGACTCGGCAGGACTCGAACGTGTGACCCCACCAATGGATTCCCCGTTCGGAGAGCAATCCTTTGATGGGGCCACACGTTCGGTTCGGGTCCTGTCTAGCGACTCTGGGCCCCAAACGCGCCTAGAATTTTGGCTGCCTCTACCGGTCTTCTGGCCCACTGTCCGGCCCAGCACATCCATAACAGGATCCCTCGCAAGGAAACGCCTGCAATGGAAAGGGTAGGCAAGCCCGCAACACGTCGGTGCCCCGTTTTGCCTACCCAACATTACCATTACCATTAAGGGCTGGTCCACAACTGATCTAACCATTGCACTTGAGATGGATTCATTGGGGGAAAAAAAAGGAACAAACTAGAACCAGACCCGTGTCCGTAAGCAAAGAAATGTCATAAACAACCATTCAATGATGTCGAGGAATTTTCACAGCGCGCGTTCAAAGTTCAAAACGCTGCAATTTAACCGCGAAGCTAGAGGTTCTTTTACTTCACGAAAAGTTCTTGGCTATTTCAATTGGCATTCATTTTTAATGCCCTTGTTGGTAAAAACATAAATTCAGCCCAAAACCGATGTTGCTTTCACGCCTTGTGGAAGTGCACAGGGTCCTTCCACAGGGCGCCTATTTTGCACGGTGGCATTAAAATGCGTTACACCCCGAAAGGGCATAATTTTTATAGCCTTGCCTTCTCAATGCTTCTAGCACTGAAATTCAAAGGGTGAGACATCTGACCGATTTTCGGTGATACAAAAAGTATGACCGAAAAACGGTCATACACAAATGTATGACCGAAAAAGGGTCATACTTAAATGTATGACCAAAAAAAGGTCAGACATTCATTAGCGAGACTGGCTATTGTTTAGCTTGGGGATTAATCAGCCTTTACCTGTGATACACTCTAAAGTATGACCATTTTTCGGTCTCGGTCATACATCGAAGTATGACCCTTTTTCAGTTTTACATTTCAGTATGACCCTTTTTCGGTCGTGCGTTTCAGTAAGACCGTTATAGGGGTCAAAAGTCTGACCTATCTATTTTCGGTGAGGCTACTCACCGCAAAGTACTCCTTTGCCCTGACATCCGCACGGAGCACTTTTTCCACCAGCAGCTCATCTGCATCGTAGAAGAATGTGGTGCCGCCGATCGTCACGTAGGTGTCACGGCCCACCACCTCCCTGTCGACCCGCACGGCCCCCGCGGCCAGCAGGGCGGCCCCTCGGGCCACCGCTTCGTCGGGGCTCAGCGCCTTGTGCAGCTTGCCCGGCAGCAGCTTGTCGATCTCGGCGCGGAGGTGGGGGATGCGGGACGACCCGCCAACCAGCACCACGTGGTCCACACAGCTTCCTTCCGGGAGAGAGCCCTGCACAGTGGGCCAGAAGACCGGTGGAGGCGGTCAAAATCTCGGACGCTTTTGGAGCTCCAAAGTCGCTAAATGGGGCTCGAACCGAACGTGTCACCCCAACAATGATGGATTGCTCTCCGAACGAGGAATCCTCTGGTGGGGTCACACCTTCGGTTCGAGTCCTGCTTAGCGACTCAGGAGGTCAAACGCGCCTAGAGATTTGGCCGCCTCCACCGGTCTTCTGGCCCACTGTGGCCTGCAAAGCCACAACAGTGAAGAAACGCAAGCCAGTCATAATGCGAAGCTATTTCTTAGTACCGTGCGATACAAAACAAACATAATGCTGAAAAATTTGTTGGTTCCGTTGAGGTTACTGATCACAGGATGGCTCAAGGACTAGATTCTGTATCAGCTCAGTAAGGGCGTACTTTTCTTACCGTGTACTTCTCACAACTTGCCCCTGCAGGGTGGAAAAAATTGGGGTTGGGGGTGTAGCCCCAATGGGTCCAGAGGATCCACGCTTATCAAGGAAGTTTTAAACCCCTTGACAACTCAAGACTACGTTCGTCGTAGTACACCAAGAAGGGTAGCGTGAATTACCATTGCGTTTTTCAGGGTGCGCGAAATCTCGTGCAGGATGAAATCGAACAAGTCACTGCATTCCGCCTCGAACAAACTTCTTGGTATGGTGTGCTTCAGCTCCTTGTCGATGGCGGGGAGGAACGTCGATATCTCTACGTGAGGAATCCTCGAAAGCTTTTGCTTGGCCTTCTCCCAAGTGGAGCGAAGGATCTCCATGGACCGGTGGTCCTCCACCTCTTTCCCGTGTTCCTCCCTGATGACCTGACAAAATACATGGGCGGGATGGGTCATGCGCCAATATCCAAAAAAAACAACACACAATCAAAAAAAATTTCTGAAAACATTATGCGTTTTGTGACCGTTTTACAAAAGCCTCGCATTTAAAATGATGTGAGACGCACGACAGCGTCCTAAATTGCAACGTGTTTTTTTAGTGCAAGGCATTTGTGAAAAATTGAGCATGTTTGCGAACCACAAAAATTCATGCGCAACAAAGCACACTTTCGTGTTCAGTTAAGCACAGATTCGTGCATTTTGAAACACTTCCACAATTTTGTGCAGCGCTTGTTCCCCAAAAACATACGTACATAGCGTGCCACATGTCACACAGTGCACTGTAAGAAAAAAAATTGGAATATTTGAAGGTATCTCAGAAAAAAAAACATTGCTGCAAAAACCATAGTGAATAAACAAAAATTCTTCGCAAATTCACGAAGAATTTTTCGTACACTTACGAAGGACATTCGTGAATTTACGATAAGAGTTTGTGAACCGTCGTGGATTACCAGCGCCGTAACTTAACAAAGGTTCTTCGGGAACATGCCTTTTTTACCAGAGCACCTTTGTAAAATTCTGGGTATTCGTTTTTACAGTGGCTACGTAGTGTACATACAGTCCACAGGTAGTTGATCATCCTGATGTCGAATTCGTCGCCGCCTGGGAGCCGCTTGCCGCAAGTCCTCACGACTTGCACCCCGCCGCCGTCCACCATGACCACCGACACGCTGCCGCCCCCGCCGCCGACGTCCACGACGACCACGAGCTTGGGGCCCTCCCGGTCGTGCGCGAAGGCCAAGGCAGCAGCCGTCGTCTCGTTGACGAGCCGCACCTCCGGCAGCCCCGCCAGCCTCGCTGTGACGAGAGAGCCCGAAAAAAAAACATTTCAATCTGTCTGCGGCAGTGGAAGGCCCTTTTTCAAGGGGGTGGGAGAGGAGCGTCTCCTGAATCACAGTGGGCCAGAGATCGGTGGAGGCGGTCAAAACTCTAGACGCGTTTTGAGCTCCTGAGTCGCTAAATGGGACTCGAATCAAACGTGTGACCCCACCAATGGGTTGCTCTCGGAACGAGGAATTCATTGGTGGGGTCACACGTTCGGTTCGAGTCCCATTTAGCGACTCTGGAGCAAAAAACGCGTCAAGAGTTTTGGCCGCCGGCACCGGCCTTCGGGCCCACTGTGAGACTTCACTCGGCGACGACTGAAAGGGTCCCTTTCCACGAGAGATGGACACTAAATATGTACCTGCATCAATGATCCCTTGTCGCTGTGCGATGTTGAAGTACGACGGCACGGCGATCACAGCCTTGCGGATGTCGCGGCGGTTCAGGTGGGCTTCTGCGAACTTCCTGACGTCCAGCAGCAGCGTGCCCGCGATCTGTGACAGACACCACACGATAAAAGTGACTGTCAAGTACACACTGACAAGTGCATACACTGCGAATCTAAGGACCAGAAGACCGGCGCCGGCGGCCAACTAAAGTCTTAAAGCGTTTCGAGCTCCAGAGTCGCTAAACAGGACTCGAACCGAGCGTGTGACCCCACCAATAGACTGCTCGCCGAACGAGGAATCCATTGGTGGGGTCACACGTTCGGTTCGAGTCCCGTTTAGCGACTCTGGAGTTCGAAACGCGTCTAGAGTTTGGGCCGCCTCCAGCGGTCTTCTGGACCACGGTGCGTCAGCTCCTGCTTTACCTCTTCCGGGCTCAGGATCAGGCTTCCCAAGCGAATCCAGGTGGCGTCCTCGTCTCCGCCAGTTAACTTGACTGGCCCGAGGAGCGGCTTGCCTGGGTCCCTGCAGACCGATGAGTAGGGGCGCCCGATCACACGCTTCACATCTGGAAAGGGGACCGTCAACAGAGCATCAGCAACACTGGTAAAACTGAAGCGTATGCTTCATTCAAGCATACAACTACGCTTGAAGACTTTACGCTTGACGTCAAGCGTAGAGAAGAAATTCTCCCGTGCATTTAGATAGGCTGGAGAGGGGCAAAACGGAGAACTACGCTTGAAGCCGAGCGTAGTTCTACTACGCTTGAAGAAAGGCGTAAAAGTACGCTTGAGTTCAACCAGTGGATCGGCACATCAAGTGTTGGCGAGTTGCAAAGTGTTTACAAACACGACGTTTTGGTCTGCTAGCCGAGCACAAACAAAACAAAACCGAGAACAAAACCGGGGCTAGTCGCACTTTGACTCTGAAAGTACGCAATGTTGGTGTCAATCCCCCTTCCTGGACCCGTCCCTGGATCCGCCCTTGAAGCCTACGTGTATCTCGGGACGTTTAGGGGAGCAAAACCACGATTTCGCCGTGTGCACCCGTCAGCGCCTGTGTGGCAGGCCGCCAGTCCGTCTCGCAACACACCGGCGTGCAAAGGGTGGCCTACCTTGCCCCTGTCGCTTTGGCAGGGAATGCCACCGTCCCTATGCTTTACTCACTTTACTGCCAACCTTACAGGCCAGGTGCTTTAGGCCACACGCAGGTGCCGAACGGATTCCTCGTTCGGAGAGCAATCCATTAATGGGGTCACACGTTCGGTTCGAGTCCCATTTAGCGACTCTGGGCTCAAAACGCGTCCGGGATTGTGACCGCCCCCTCCGCGCCGGTCCTCTGGCCCACTGTGCGTTACTCACTGCGAATGGTCTTGTCCGGGTCGCTCACCGCCAGGCGCAGGGCCGCCTCCCCCGTCTGGGCCGTCTGCCTCTGCTCGCCGTCCTCCACCTGCACGTGCACCACGCTGGGGGTGGTGCGCGCCCCGATGTCGTTGGGCAGCACATCCACGTCGCCGTCCTGCACCACGGCCACGGCCATCTTGGTGCAGCCGAAGTCGATCCCCAAAACGACGCCGTCATCTTCGGGTCCCGCCTGCCGGAGGCTCTGAGCTGCGAGCAAGGGAAATAAAACTCCAGCCAAATTTGTACACCAAAATTCATCAAACTTGTAAATTCACTGAAATTCACTGAATTCATTGGAATTTGATTGAAATTCATCGAATTTGGACTTAAACTCATTGAAATTCGACTGAAATTCATCGGAATTTGACTGAAATTCATCGAAATTCGACTGAAATTCACAGGATTTGTATACCGAAATTCACAGTGATTTCCCCCTGGCTGCGAGCAAGGATATGAGAATAAGCCATTACAAACAAACGCATATTTTAAATTGAAAATAGGAAAAAAGCAGGCACAGTTTTCCAGAGTTACTTTTTTCTCCGGGTTGAAACCGGCCAACACATGCAAAAAAATTCACATTGACTTGAACTGAAGGCGGCTAAAAATTAACACCAGAGCTTCTTTTTCGAAGAAGCCAAACAAATTATTTGCAGAAGCTATCCACCAAAGAAAAATTTATATGCAGATTTATTTTAAGAGACCAGCTGCGAGCAGTAGCTGGCACAAAATTTTGCAGTATGAATTTGTGAGAAAAAGACATTGTCTGCACTGTAAGTACATGTAGCTTGGTATTTGTCAGAATGTGCTTTCTAGCTTGCTAGAACAAAATCAGTGACGCAGAGTTGTGTAGAGAATTCTGAATTTGGAACTGACAAGCGCACCCTGCTTCTGTTAATCGTACATTCTTCTAATCATGTATGCGTGCAAGATTTTGTTCAGACCAGAAAGACCTGGTTTTGATGAACAAGTCACCGTACAGATTTCAAATTGACCCACAACTAGTTTGAAACACAATTCATACAAACATTTTTGATGATTTGAACACCAAGCCCTTATTTTACCATCAGCTTATCTTACTGACTACAAACCAATACTGACATTAGTTGCGCATTTCGAACCAAACTCAGGTTTCCCAAGACAACAATTCCCCCTCACTTACTTTTTTAGAAGCAAGAAAGAATGTTCTGATATTATGATACAAAGCTTCACCTTCTGGTGAGGATATGCCATTTAGTCAGAAAGAGTTGTTTCCACAAAGAACGGAAATAAGTCATGGGCTTTTAATTCAAGAACAAGAAAGGAATGCTACAAGCTCAAACACCAATTGATGTCAATATGTAAAGCTCATAAGAAATGCATACTGCAACAGGCTGTTTGTTCGGTTAATCAAAACCCTTCTGACACCAGATATCACTAACAGGTCTATGGTTACGTAGTTTGAACAAAGAAATAAAAACCATGTCGAGCCAATTTTCATTGCAGAGAGATGAGCTTCCATTGAACATGTAGCAACAATGAAGGAAAAGACAACACAGCTTGCAATTTCAAGCACTTTCTGAAGTTTGGCGAGGACTGGAGAACCTCCGCCTCCAACCCTTTCAGGGCACCAAAGGAGTAAACATCAATCATATGAGAAACGCCTCCTCCTTCCAACAGCAACAATGAAAAGCTGACGTGGTTGGTATACACTGCAACAGGTTCCTTGTTTGTGGCGCACTGGATGAACTTACTTCTAGAGGAACGAGTTTCCATCTTGAACGAGGCGAGGGACACTCCACCACTTTCACACACACATACACAGAACGTCCACACATACACAGAACGCAACGACACTGTCCACTGTCACTGTCACACGACGCACTCACGGTGGGAATGAGTCTTTGACACGCCGGTTCGTCCGTAACTTCCTCTGTTTACAGTTTGCTCTGTTTTCGCTTTGTCGCACACGGAGCGCCTGTGTGAACGGTCGGCGTCGGCGGTCCCGAGTCCCGACAACACTGCAACTGCCAGCTGCGGCGGCCGCAGCCGGGGCCGGGGCGGCGGCCGGCGGCCAGCCGCGCAGCCAACCACCCCCACCCCCTCCCTTCCTCCCTCCCCTTCCCTGTCCTCGACGCGCAGCGCGAGCGCCTGTCGAGACGAGTCCAACAGCAGCAACGCTTGGCCTGTTCAAGATTTCTAAACGACACCACGAATTTGAGAATGAAATAAAACAGGAACCTCGTCGTCCTTGGATGTCGCCTAACCCCAACACCTCCCCCCCCCCCTCTCACTCTGTTGTATGTCTCAACGTTGTTGCAGCGGTGCACAGTGGGCCAGAAGACCGGTGGCAGAAATTCTAGACGCGTTTAGGGGTCTAGAGTCGCTAAACAGGACTCGAACTGATGAACGTGTGACCCCACCAATGGATTGCTCTCCGTAGAGGCATCCATTGGTGGGGTCACACGTTTGTTCGAGTCCTGTTTAGCGACTCTTGAGTTCACAACGCGTCTAGGGTGTTGGCCGCCCCCACCGGTCTTCTGGCCCACTGTGGCACGGTACGGTTGGTTGTAGCCGCCCCTGCGTTCACAGGTGTGCGCTTGACACGCCAGGCGCGGATCCAGGGGGTGGGCGAAGCTTTGGCCTCCCCCCCCCCCCTTTCCAAAGCCGCCTGTAAGGTGGTCAAAATGTCGCGCCTTGGCCGGTAGGCAACTTGTGCGACATCCCACTTGCCTCTGGATCCGCCCTCCTGCCAAGCAGGCATCTGTTGAAATCGACGGCCGATTCCAACAGTGGACGAGTTCCCTCGCCGGAGCGGAGAGCGCCGGGGAGGTGGGCCCGCCCGTAGAGCGTGCGAGTACGCGGGATTGCCTATCCGTCCGTGATCGGGCGCTTCGTCTGAGGCCTCTGGGCGAACGACGGCAAGTTGAGGAGCTGCACGGTGTGCCACGTGGAGGCGGTCGAAGTCCCGGACGCGTTTCGAGCTCCAAAGTCCCTACATGGGACTCAAATCGAACGTGTGACCCCACCAATGGATTGCTCTCCGAAAGAGGAATGCATTGGTGGGGTCACACGCTCGGTTCGAGTCCCATTTAGCGACTCTGGAGCTCAAAACGCGTCTAGAGTTTTGGCCGCCTCCACCGGTCTTCTGGCCCACTGTGTGCTGGCTGCGGCTGCACGGTGTCTTCTCATCTTTGTTCGTTGCTACCCCATCCCCTCTCCTTCCCCCCCTTCTCAGACAAGACGCCAAACTGTCTCTCTTTTCAGTTGACTGAAGGTGTGTTGGAATAAAGTGAAGGCAACAAGTTTCTGGAATGGTGTTTATACTTCAATCACCTTAGAATCACACATGACATAGGTAAGTTACAAAAATGAAAACTTTGGTACAATGGACTAGGCGTTCACATGAGATGATTAAAATTATCAGCACAAAACAAAATTGCTACATAATATTTGGACAGAAGAAATCATCCCCACACGGGCGCCTCAGAGACAACAAACTACATGCTCTTTCCATGTATCAAAATAAAATAAACAACTTAAAATTAAGATTGCTGCTAATTAAGAGCGAATCTGACAAGAAAAGAAAAACAAGTTGGAAGAGGGCCTAGAGTCGGTGGTTGAGGATCCGCACAGCCTCGCTCATGGTGGGAGTGGACTTCTCGTTGGCCACCAGCATGGCGAAGTCGCCCACTCTGTCCGCGGGGCAGGACGCCGTCCTCTGGAACACATCCCTCAGTTGCTCCGTGGACTTCCGGTCGTACGCTGGCAGCACCGGCGCCACGAGGGCGCGAACCACATGCCGGTGCAGGTGCGGGAAGCGTGCCTGAAAGTAGAGATGCGAATTTTCCAGAAACTTTCACAGGGTCGGAAAAAAAACGGCAAAACACGGAAAGAGCCGAAAAATGGAAAATAACCCGAAAACTAGAAAAAAAACCGGAAAAATAGAAAAAAACATAAATAAAATGAAAAGAAAAATTAGTTTGAAACCTCTGCAGTGGAATATGAACATAAAACCTACTACTTTTAAGTTTCGTTACGCCTTTACTTTCACTCGCAACCCCAGATTCACTACTGCAACCTCAAATTAAAACGTACGAGAAGGAAACATGACAGGGTATAAAAAGTATGGGTGCACTTAAAATCGTCTTCACATAGTGATAAAGATATGCATTTTCCCTGCCTACAGGTGAAGAGTCGGGATTTTTACCTACTTTGAAGGCTGAATCTTTCCAATTTTTCCAAGGCCAAGAAAAAAAAACATTGTTATATTTTCTAATGTTTCCAGAAGCTTTCCCGGCATTTTCATCTCTACCTGAAAGTCCTCCAAGGTGACGCCGCCCAGCGCGCTGTACAGGTTCCGGTACTTGCCGGCGTGCTCCAGGCCTAGCTGCTGGATCTCCAGCGTGAAGTCGTTGCCGAACACGGAGGGCCCCGCCGCCTCGGACACGGGGTGGTTCAGGATGTCCGCGACGTGCACCATCTGCTGCCTGGCGCGCTCCATCGCCTGCGCCGTCACCTCCACGCACGTGGACACCACGCAGCACATGTCCCTCTCCTTCTCCATGGACCACACGCGGCCGGCAACCAACCTCCTGACCGGGCGGACGAGCTGCTCGAGCACAGCCTCCACCGAGGGGAAGGGGTTCTCCGCCAGCAGGCCGGCGTGCTCCAGGTTGAAGAAGGTCGGTAGGCCCGCCTGCAAAGAAGCCGAGTCACAGTGGGCCAGGAGACCGGTGCAGGCGGTCAAAATCCCGGTGGCGCTTTGACCTCCAGAGTCGCTGTTCCGAGCAATACACATGGGCCAGAAGACCGGCGCTGCCGGCGAAAACCCTAGACGCGTTTTGAGCTCTACAGTCGCCAAACAGGACTCGAACCGAACGTGTGACCCCACCAATGGATTGCTCGCTCGCAGAGCAACCCGTTGGTGGGATCGCACGTTCGGTTCGAGTACCATTTAGCGGCTCTGGAGCTCAAAACAAGTCCGGGACTTTGACCGCCTCCACAGATCATCTGGCCCACTTTGCCATAGAGCCATCTGGGAGTTGGTGAACCCACCTGTCCGAAGAACTTGGCCGCCTCCGCGAACAGATTGCGAAACGACGCAAGGCAAATGTTGAATCCATTGTCCTGGGACGACAGGGACAGGGCGTCGGTGAGAACGGCAACCACCTGGTAGTGGCGCCCCTCCACGTTGGCCAGCTCGTGCAGTGCCTTGACGATGCCCTCGCGCTCCGCAGACACGAAGGCGATAGCACTGGAGTAGGTCGCCCAGGGGTCCAAGTCCTCCTGTGACAGCGACGCACAGGTTTCCCTTAGGAGTGGGAACCACGGGCTGTCTACGGCGAAGAGGCTCCTCAGCATGTCCATGGTGCTGAAGAACTGGACCGCCACTTGATAGGTGTGCTTCTCGCGGAGGCGCGCGTAGCAGGCGAGGGCCACCCTGTCCTCCAGGGGCACTGCTGCGTTCACGAGGTCCTCGATGGGCGCGGGCGACAAGGCCTGGAGACACTGTACGAAGGCCCTGCCTTCGGGGCCCGCGGCCTCGGCGCTGACGCCCACCAGGATGGCCTGCCAATGCACCTGGGCACGCTCGCAGAGCGCCAAGAAGGACTGCGCCAACGCCTCGCCGTCGCTGCTGCAAATCTGGAACGCAACAAAAATCTCTTTCAATCAGCCGAAGGTGTGACCCCACCAATGGATTCCCCGTTCGGCGAGCAATCCATTGGTGGGGTCACAAGTTCGGTTCGAGTCCCCAGCGACACTGGGGCTCAAAACACGTCCAGAGTTTTGGCGCACAGTGGGCCAGAAGACCAGTGGAGGCGGCCAAAACTCCACATGCGTTTTGATTTCTAGAGTCACTAAATGAGTCTCGAACCGAGCTTGTGACCCCACCAATGGATTGCTCTCCGAACTAGGAATCCATTGGTGGGGTCACACGTTCGGTTCGAGTCCTTAGCGACTCTGGAGCCGTTCAGTTTCGGCCGCCTGCACCGGTCTTCTGGCCCACTGCGCGTAGCAACAACCTCCCTTCCAGTGTCCGTACCTGGGCGAGCCGCACCACGAGCAGCCTCTCGACGGGCTTGCCGCGCTCGTCGAGGTAGCGCACCGACAGCGACAGGAGGCAGCGCGCCTCGCTCTGCCGCCTGTCCACGAGGAGGGCCATCCCGCCGCCGACCTGGGCCACTCGCAGAATTTCCACGGCCAGAGCCGTCGACAGCGACCTCAGGACCTCCAGCTGGCTCTCCAGCAGCTTGGCCGGCAAGAACGCCACCGTGACTGCCCAGCCGAGAGGGTCCGTCTGGGCCCGATCCCACAGGGTCGACATCAGCGTCATGACCCTGATGTCGCCTACATCACGAAAGTCAAAAACCACAGTACGCCATGAAATACTTTGCTATCGGTGAATTCGGAACACGGTGCTGTTTCGTATGGATATTGGAAAGTTGCTTTGAAAACACTCTGTATGTCAAGTAAAACTTATTTTTGTTAAAGATAAACGGCAACTTGGAGGTTGGGGCCCATGGTACATTTATTCTACATCCCTGAAATTCTGAAGCTCACCCTGACTAGAGCCCTAGAGGACTCTAACCCTGACAAGACGACATTCTTACGCAAGTATAGGCCCAGCCACTTCTACAGGACTTCTATCTTGTACTTGCGTCATAAATGGCGATTAGACGTAGAGAGTAAATTATCCGACTCAACTCTAACTCATGAAAATATATCTGTTTGAAACAAAGCCTATTCATTTTTATAACTTTTCTGACCAATTAAGAATGGCCAAAACCCGCAGCTCAAGACAGAACCTAATACAAACAAATGCACCCAGGCTAAGCAACAGGGGAAGTACCAAAAACCAAGCAAAAAAAACTTACTTATAACTTTATCCACCTTGCTTTCTTTTTCACACGTGTTGTCATTCTCGTCAGTGTTAGAAATTTGGGAGAGCAATTCACACTTCACTTCCACACCAGTGCCATCATCACTTTTTGAGACATTTTCGTCCAGAGGGGGTGAGATTTGTGGCATTGCTTTCTCTAATTTTGTAGGTCGACAACTTAGAGCAGTAATACCAGCTTCACCCAGGACATGAAGACGCCTCATGTCGAATTCATCAGCTGGAACTGCTGGGTGCGATTGAATCCATTCATAAAAGGGGGCAACCAACTCTAAATTACCTTCCTGTAAACGTAAAGGATCACAAAACATAATTTTGTTCAGGCTTAAATAATCCCAAGACATTAGAGGATTTTAGAATGCATAATTATCAGGATGCATCCTATTGCTTGTTTTTACTTCAGTGATAGTAAGGTTGATATGGATAATGGTATTTGAGGTGCTTGATTTACATGTTGCTGGTTGGGAAACTTATATGCAGGGACCCAAAAATTAGTTTCCCCTAATTTTCTTTAAGGCCTACCTTCATGACCAAATCCAAAGCTTTCTGCAGTGAGTCTCTGGCTGCCGTTCTTTTCTCTCTTTCCTCTTTAATCTCCTTTTCCTTTTCTCTTACTTCATTGAGATAGGACTCAAGTTGATCAGAATTTAGTTTCTCATCGGCAAGAACAACAACATAATTGTTACTGCAAAGGGCTTGTAAACTGTGTTCCAAATCACGAACAATGTCATTTTCATGGACCTGTGTGCAAATTTAGAGATGGATGTCAACAGACATGGATAATTTTAAGGTACAAACATGATGATATACCATGTAAAGGGGTATATTAACTCACCTTCCTAAAAGTTATTCCACGAACAAGCTGGCAGAGTTGCGTCCTCAGGTTCTTCCTTCTTGTTCGGGTTTGATCACGTTTAAACTCTGCTGCACGTTTGTTTAAGTCAGTTAAATGTTCACTTATTTCCTCTCGTGTTGGAGCAGGATGTTCCTCAACCCAGATGTTCAGGCTACGACAGTAACTTTGAAGCTGAAGAGCGAGCGGGAAGCAGGGCATATCTGAGCTTGTCTAATCAGAAGGAAAGGGGTATAACAATACAAGGAAAAACGACACAAAAACCAGTATTTTGCCACAAGGCACACCAAAGCACAAGATACAGAAACAGAAAATTCAAATACCTGCATACTAAGAAGTGAATGAAGCTTTGTTTTCAGCTTTTCTAACAAACCTAATCTGTTTTGTTCGAAGTCTTTGGCAAACATGGCTGCTTCTTTCCTAACATAAAGCAACTTCTGGCGAAGCTCCTCTGTTGAAGCAACTTGCAATTTGGAATCCAACCAACTTTTAACAGATATGAATTTCTCTGAATACCTAGTACACCAGTCCTCATCATTTGGGCACTAAGAAAAGAAACAGTGGACAAAGTAACTATGAAAATTGGTGAATGTGAATCATTCAAATAAAATTCAATGTGATGTGGAACGCACGGTAATACTGCTAGATGATTAGATACAGCTAATATGTTCACAATAGAGCAGTAACAATAATTGAAGGAAATACCCAAAGTAGAGGGTGGGTGCGTTCAAATCAGGGCAAATATTTGGAAAAAATCCTTACCTGAGCCATCACATCTTTCAATTTTTGTTCCAGGGCTATTTTGAAGAGTTTCTGGCTCAATTCATTCCAATGTTTCTCATGTGGAGCCAAATGTTTTAATTGGCATTCATAATCTGTTATTTGGGCATTTGGGTGGCGTTCTAGCCATGCAGTCGTTTCCAAACATTTTGACAACATGTTGTTCATATCCTGTTTTAACTTTTCATCATTGAAACCCAATAAGTCATCAGCACTCTGTAAGAAAGAGGCAGACAAGACCAAAAAGAGGTCATTAACACAAACAATGAATTTATCAGAAGAACAAATTCACTTTGATGCCTGCTGGCCATTGTAAGGGAGACAAGCTTTAAACCTTCTTCAAGTGGGCATTTTCAAAGGTTGAACACTCAACTACAATCGGTCTCAAATGAAAGGGCCCAGTGCTTATTGCAGCCATATGGCAATAGACAATGGAAGCAGGTATGGTGGTGGAGGAACAGGAGGTACAGTTTGCAGAATTGATTGTTTGAACATGACAATATTTTCTGCCATTAAAAACATGGAGCTTATCTTCTATCAGATACCAAACTTGGTAGCTACAACCTGTCAACCTGTCAAACTCCCACTCCCACTCCCACTCCCACTCCCTCTCCCTCTCCCTCTCCCTCTCCCCCTCTCTCTCTCTCTCTCTCTCTCTCTCTCTCCAGGTCCAAGGAAAATAGGGGAGGAGAATAGTTACATGGCCATGGGCAAAGTGCCTCAATCCGGGCGGCAATACCCCACCCCACCCACCCTTTCTACCCCCTGGTCCCGCGCCTGCAACAACCCCACAGTCCGCCAGAAGACCGGTGGCGGCGGTCGAAATTCCGGACGGGTTTAGGCTCCAGAGTCACTGAATGGGACTCGAACCAAACGTGTGACCCCACCAATGGATTGCTCCCACCAATGGATTGCTCGCCGAATGAGGAATCCATTGGTGGGATCACACGCTCGTTTGGAGTTCTGTTTAGCAACTCTGGAGCTCAAAACGCGTCTAGAATTTCGGCCGCCTCCACCGGTCATCTGACCCACTGTGAACCCCAGCGGCGTAGCCTACCTCCAATGAAATCTTCAAGGCATCAACACAAGACGCCAGCTTGGCCTTGGCCTGCAACCGCCGCTCCTCCCTGACGGCCTCCACGTCGGCCACGGCTTGCTTCAACCTCGCCGCGCGCTGCTCGAGCTCCTGCAGGGACGCCTCTTCACCATGGGCCAGCAGCCACTCCTGGTCCTCCAACCAGGCGGGGCGCAGTTTGGAGGTCAGATCGAAAGCCGGGTCGTCCTCACACACCTACGAAGGTACAAGAGGTACAGTAAACAGCATAAGCGCAGTGGGCCAGAAGACCGGTGGAGGCGGTCAAAATCCCGGACGCGTTTTGAGCTCGCAGAGTCGCTTAATGGGACACGAACCGAACGTGTGACCCCACCAATGTATTGCTCTCCGAACGAGGAATCCATGCGTGGGGTAACGCGTTCGGTTTGAGTACCACTTAGCGACTCAGGAGCTCAAAAACGCGTCTAGCGTTATAGCCGCCGGCGCCGGTCTTCTGGCCTACTGTGCCTCTGGGCCTGCACAGCAACACACAAGCTTGCACTTGATACGAACCTCTATCCGCAACAGCTCGGCCAGATAGTTTGAAATCGCCTCGCGTAACTCCTTCTTCTGAACCTCGACCGCAGCGAGGTGCCGCGCATTGTCGATCTCAATACGGAGTGAGCTGAGGTACGAGAGGGCGTCATTGGCGCGTTCCTTCGGCATGTTCGGATCCACGGAAATTTGATCCAGAACTTCTTTACAGTGGCCTTTCAGCTTCTGCTCTTCCTCCAGCGACTTGTCATGGATCAGCTGGAATGCAAATTATAGGACTCACATTTAAAAAAAAATCAAAAGCAGTCCTGAGTAATAGAAACAGCACATGAGAGTTTGGATAAGAAACGGCCAAACCAACGCTAAACCGGACTCGAACCGAGCGTGTGACCGCACCAATGGATTCCTCGTTTGGAGAGCAACCCATTAGTAGGGTCGCAAGTTCAGGTCGAGTCCCTCAATTTTGGTTATTTAACGTTCAGTCCTCACAAAGAGAAAAAAAGTAATTTCCTTACCTCTTTTGATAGCTCGTCCCGAATGAAATTCTCCAGACTGTTTTTGGCCTGTGTGCGTTCCAATTCACTTTTATCGCTGTGCAGCTGCCGTTCTATCTTTCTTTGGAGCATATTCAGTCTTGACTTGTCCAGGCAGAACCGTGGGGTAAAGTACATTAAAGCCCCATCCGCGTCATAGCAGTTGAGGGTTCCTGACATGTCAAAGTGAAGCTTGACGGGGCATCCATTCTGGTCATCATATATTGTTATAAGGGCGTCTTTATCATATGGACTAGCCTGCTCGACCTGACAAGAAAACAGATACGAATTCAAATATTTAACATGACCACGAGGATAACACGGCTCGGTTCCGCTCACGAAGCGCCTGCCATCGGACGGGTAGGCAAGCCCGCCGCACAGCCGTGCCCGTTTTTGCCTATCGGCCAGGCGCTCAACCACCTTGAACTTGAGATGCTAGACCACAACTGATCCTTATCTCATGGCAATCGGCTCAAAATTGTGGACGAAAAGGCTCCCAATTTTAGTGCATTCTTCCGAATCTATTTGGGGGCGGTCAAAATTCGAGACGTGATTTGAGCTCCAGAGTCGCTAAATGGGACTCAAACCGAACGTCTGACCCCACCAATAGATTGCTCTCCGAAAGAGGAATCCATTAGTGGGGTCACACGCTCGGTTCGAGTCCTGTTTAGCGACTCTGGAGCTCAAAACGCGTCTACACTGCAAACCTAACTGTCTACTAAGTACACACTTACAAATGCGTGCTTGCAAGTACACACTTACAAACGCATGCTTGGCCAAGTGCACACTTACAAATGCATGCCTGACGCCGTATAACTCCATGCGTCAAGCATGCGTTTGTAAGTGTGTACTTGCAAGCATGCATTTGTAAGTGTGTACTTGGCTAAGCATGCGTTTGTAAGTGTGTACTTGCAAGCACGCATTTGTAAGTGTGTACTTAGTAGACAGTTAGGTTTGTAGTGTAGAGTTTTGGCCGCCTCCACCGGTCTTCTGGCCCAATGTGCCGCGGCCTATGAAACTCACCGAGAAATTGTATCTATGCCGTTGGTACGTCATCCTAGTCAGTGGGCGGCGCTCGATCGTGCTCTTGAGGCCAAGCACCGTCGCGCACGGCCGCGTGTAAGAAGTGTCGCCCATGGTGATCCAGGTGTTGAGTCCCAGGACTTCCCGCTCCAGCCGCACGGTCCCAGCCGCCAGCAGAGCCGCTCCCTGTGCCACCGCCTCGTCCGGGTTCAGGGCCTTGTGCACCTTGTTGGGGAACATCCTGTTGATCTCGTTTCTGAGGACAGGGATGCGAGTGGATCCCCCCACCAGCACCACACTGTCATATTCCTGCACCGCGAGCGCATTCTGCAACGGGGAGCGACAATCAGCAATGCAGCCGCACAGTGGGCCAGAAGACCGGCGCAGGTGGCCAGAACTCTAAACGCGTTTTGAGCTCCAGAGTCGCTGAACAGGACTCGAACCGAACGTGTGACCCCACCAATGGACTGCTCTCCAAACGAGGAATCCATTGGTGGGGTCGGCTTGCGTCCTGTTTAGCGACTCTGGAGCTTAAAACACCTCTAGAGTTTTGGCCGCCTCCACCGGCCTTCTGGCCCACTGTGAGCCGCCTCACTCCAATTTGGCATGCCCTGAAACCGGGCGCCTTTGACGCCTGATCCACTTTTCTTAGAGATCCCTTCGCCATAGCGGGTATGGCGCCCAGTTTCAGGGCACCTTTGTCACCTAGTCTCAGGGCCCACAAGTCATTACTTCAGAAAACAAACAGAATGTCAACATAAACTTATCAAGTAGAAAAATTACCATTCCTGTGACCGCGATGTCGCGTATTGCGTGAATGATCTCGCCGAATAGTCCTTGACACTCTTTCTCGAATTGGGCCCTGGATATAATGTGTTTAAATTCGAGGTCCGGTCCAGGCAGGTAGGTGGACAGCTCCACTTGGGGGATACGAGAGAGTTTCTGTTTCGATTTTTCCCAGCACGACCGCAAAATCTCCGCGGACCGCAGATCCCTTACTTCCTTTCCATGCTCCTGCTTGATGACCTGCAAACAGAAGAAATTGGGCGAAATTACTCCCATAACACTATTTCTGGATCCACGCCTGGTTCTGACTGCGAATTGCTCCGCACAGTGGGCCAGAAGACCGGTGAAGGCGGTCAAAATCCCGCGGACGCATTTGAGCTCCAGGGTCGCTAAATGGGACCCGAATCGAACGTGTGACCCCACCAATGGATTGCTCCCCGAACGAGGAATCCATTGGTGGGGTCACACGTTCGGTTCGAGTCCTGTTTAGCAACAATGGAGCTCAAAACGCGTTATAGAGTTTAGGCCGCGGGCGCCGGTCTTCTGGACCACTGTGCTCCGGCGGCTGCGTACCTGTCTCAGATACATCATCATCTGAGAGTCGATGTCCTCTCCGCCCGGCAGCCGTTTCATAGAGGTGCACACGACCCAAACTGCACCCTCCTTGACCCGGACGACTGACACAGCGCCGCCCCCGCCGCCGACGTCCACGACGACCACATTCTTCTCGTCCTCCCGGTCGCGCGCGTAGGCCAAGGCAGCGGCCGTCGTCTCGTTGACGAGCTGCACCGTGTTCAGCCCCGCCAGTCTTGCTGCAAACACTCATTCACACGTTAGGACCTAGCAAGTCACTTAAAAAGAGTCCCAAGCGACAGTAGAAAAAATTCGAGCCTCTGCAATCTGCCCGGCCCAGGGAGGGAGGATGCTGGGGTAAAATTGATTGAATTATCCCTCCTCCTTAGAGAGACATGCATTGGCTACCATGCGCTTTAGAAAAGTGACACACCTCACTCTCTCAACTCCAACACTCGGTGAAAAAAATCACCAGCTCAGCCAATGCTGGAAGGTTTGATTTCTTTCTCTCTCATCTTTTTTCCTTATTATGGGATTGGCTGGGTCCGAAACCCACGCTGGAAAAGGTGCGGATGGTAGAACTAATGCAGGCCCTCTAGAGTCATTACAAATTAAGTTAGCACAGACAGTCCCTGACTAGAGACAACCTACAGGGAAAATTTACTCTTTTTGTCATTTGGGAAAGATCTAATAATTTGAGATTTTAATCGAATTGAAACTAAATCCTAAGACTCTTCCCCAACTTGGCTCAGGCAGGGTCAATGGTAAAAGTCTACCCTACTTCAACTCACATTATGATGTGCGCAAACAGACAAGCTTCACAGGTGTCAATGCCGCTCAAATTGACTCAAAAACGCTGTCGCTGTTTGACCAACTATAATTTTTTTTCAGGACGAGGTTGCCAGTGATTTCGAGCCATTTCAACCAAATTCTGATGGCGTGCCGGCTGAACAAGTGGACCCAATGTAAAGCGGAGGCTACACTAGAAGAGAAGCTACACTTGAAGTCTGGTAAGTTTACCTGCGTCAATAATGGCTTGTCGCTGAGCAATGTTAAAGTAAGAGGGTACTGCCATTACAGCCCTCCTCACTTCATGGTTGAGCTGGCTTTCTGCAAACTTCCTCAACTCCAATAGTAGGGAGCCCACAACCTGGGGACATGACAAAGACATGAGCACAAGCATTCGTTTGATGCGCAGATTCAAGAGTCTAGACTTTGTTTTTTGTTTTTTAATGACACTACAAGAAACTCAATAAAATCTACCAAACATGGTCTTCAAAAGAAACTATTACTGAACAGCAAAGAGGTCGAGGATTTCTTACAAGAAGAACTCTGAAGACAAATCAGTTATATGTACAAATCTGCTTACTTCCTCGGGGCAGAGTTCAGCGAATCCCAGGCGAATTCTCACAGAATCCCCGACTCCAGGGGCCAATCTGATGGGACCCATAAGTGGCTTGGCTGGGTCAGTCATTACTGATCGGTAGGAGCGACCAATAACTCGCTTGACATCTGAGAACACACGAAACAGGGGTTGGATTAATAAAAATCAGGGGTGGCTCAAGAGGTAGGGGGAAGCTTGTCTCCTTTCCCCTCTGGACCGGAAAATGTGGAACCAAAAATGACGTCAAGGTGATTTTTTTTTAAAGAAACCTATTTTGAACTATTTTGTAACTACTGTACTCTGTTTCCAACTGATCTCTAGCTACACTATCCCATTCTTTTTTTCTCCCCCTCTTCACTTAATGCCGAGGGAAAAAATCAGAAGAAATCTATTTCGAACAATGTGAATGCCCCCCCCCCCCCGCCTTTTTCTCTCTGCCCATTCAATAGATGCCAAGGTGTCTGCAGTATGCAGCCCCCACAGGGCTGTGTACTTTTCTTGCCCTGTACTTTTCTTCCCCAACTTACCCCTAAGTACCGAGTACTGTCTTCGGCTTTTCTTAGAAATAGGAACCATGTCCCGACTCTCGGTGAACAGTGGGCCAGAAGACCGGTGGAGCGGCCAAAATTCGAGACACGTTTTGAGGTCCTGAGTCGCTAAACGGGACTGGAACCGAACGTGTGACCCCACCAATGGATTCCTCGTTCGGAGAGCAATCCATTGGTGGGGTCACACGTTCGGTTCGAGTCCCATTTAGCGACTCCGGAGCTCAAAACACGTCTAGAATTTTGGCCGCTCTACCGGTCTTCTGGCCCACTGTGCGGTGGCACAGTACTCACTTCGCAAGGTCTTGTCGGGGTCCGTCACCGCAAGGCGCAGTGCCGCCTCGCCCGTCTGCCGCTCCTCACACGCCCTCCTGGTCGAAAGGCCGCGGGTCTGCGGGCCGTCGGGCACCAGCACGTGGACGCAGGACGGCGTGGTCCTGGCCCCGATGTCGTTGGACAGGATCTCCACGTCGTCGTCCACCAGGGCGGCCACCACCATGTTGGTGGTGCCGAAGTCGATGCCGATCACGGTGCCGCTGCCACTGGCCTCCCGGCGCTCCTCGGCGGCCTGAGCCTGGGCCTGGGCCGGAGCCCGAGGCGGCGGCGGAGGCGGCCCGAGGCTGACACTCAGGGCTGCAAGAACCAGGGCGGGTGTCAGTGGGCCAGAGGACCGGCGCCGGCGGCCAAAACTCTGGACGCGTTTTGAGCTCCAGAGTCACTAAACGGGACTCAAAGCGAGCGTGTGACCCCACCAATGGATTCCTCGTGCGGAGAGCAATTCATTGGTGGGGTCACACGTTCGGTTCGAGTCCCATGTGGCGACTCTGGAGCTCAAAACGCGTCTGCGATTTTGACAGCCTTCACCGGTCTTCTGGCCCACTGTGCGGTTAGACAAGCATGATGTGTGAATTTGAAGGTTGAAACTGGGCAAAATCTTGCCAGGTGCTCACTCTAGTTGAGAGTTGCATGGGCAAAGCCTTACAAGGTTTCTAGATTTTTATTTATTTATTTTTTTAAACATCTTTTTAAATCAAGGAATTAATTATTTTAGTTTGGCAATAGAAGTTTAAAAAGTAGTTCATAGAATAGGAGATTAAGTTTTCAACAAATGAGGACATGACTCGTATAAGTAAGTTCGCTCCTGGTGCACTTCAGGTCCAGGCAGGGAAGGACCTTCAAGTCCCTGAATAAAACTCAAAAGGTCTACGTATCACATGTGTGGTGCTGTGAACTGCTTAGAAGCTATGACTCATGTAATCCTTTCATTGTAAAAATTTTACTAGTCAAAAATAATAATAACTAATGATTATGTCGTGTTGTTTTACGGCCTAACCTGATGAAAACTGTTCCAATTTAAAATCTTGAATCATAGTATGACATTTATTTTCAAAATTAATCAATGTACTGCATGTAATTTGACCACGTCCCAGAAGATCGGTCACATAATTTTTTGTGCAAATCCTGAAGGACCCACTGAGAAAACGATGACCAAGTTATTTCAATAGGTGAGCGATACATTGAGCATTGACGGCAGAATAGTGCCCTTTCATGTCAACGCAAATTCATTTGAAACTGAGTCTGATAACGCAGATACAGCAAAATCCATGCATAGAAGTTCGATACAGCATGGAGGTGATCATAAGAACTTGCCGCCCAAAAAACAAAGCTTCCCATTGCAGCACACATCTCCCCTGGTGCCTGTGAGGTTGCCAGGTAGGCAGCCCCCTACAGACCTACAGGCACTGAGTAAATAACATATGACAACAACGAGGAAAATTGCAGGACAAGAGTATGGTAAAGTGAAGGGCAGTTTCAGTGTTCCGCCAAAAGTCCTGACACGACACTTGGGATCAACCCCACCCCCACCTCCACCCTTCCACCCTTTATTCCAAATCAGCGTCAGATAAAAGTCGTGCACCACGGTCATAGACCCAAAAGCAAAGCAGCCTTCGATCACTGAACGAACTCACAGCTGACTGATTCCAGGAGACGGTTTCGTCGCTCTGTCTCTCTCGCACCCTATGAGTGCGACGGAGACGGAGTGACGAAAACGTCCCACAGACTGTCTCTCGATGCACTCACCTGGGTATGACATTTCAGTCGCTGCGGCGCCCGGCTGCCACCTGTGGCCTGCACTTGCACTTCCCACGACTTTCGCTTCGCACTTCGTCACTCCGCGACTTGGATCTCGCACGGGGAGTACCTCGACGATCGCTGGTTCCAACAACACTGCCGAGCCGAGCCGAGCCGGAGCCGAGCCGAAGCCGAGCCGCCCAGCCGAGCTGGGCCGAGTCGAGCCGAGCCGAGCCGAGCCGAGTCGAGAGCCACCCGAAGCCGCGCCGAGACGAGACGAGTCAAGCCGAAGCCACCCGGTCCGGCGAAACAACAAACAACAATCTACAGGTTGGCACGGACAGGCACTGGCAGGCTACGACACGCAGGATTCTAAGCGACGCTGAAAATTTGTAAGTTTTGGTCTACAACCCCGTCGTCCTCCTTCATTTGCGCCTTCTGCCCCTTCCTCTCTGCTGCCCCAGCTGGTTTGTTGTTGCGGCGGCAGTGATAGTGTAGTGGCCGCTGCCGCCGCGAGGGTGAGGGAGGAGCGCAGGAAGGGAGGGGGCGGAAGACGAGAAGGAAGGAAAGAGAAAGAAAACACTCAGCAGTCGTTTGGTGAATCCGCAGTGGAAAGCAGTGTGTGCGTCGTGCGTCTGTCGAGCTGCGCGCGCTCTCCTGTCTATCAAGTCGATCGCCCCGCCCCCTCGTCCTCGTCGAGACGGTGAGTTGAACCCCGTAAGTTGCGCAGTTACGCCCTTGTAGCGAGTCGGGGACCGTCCATCAACGACCCTTGGGCTTGGCGGGGTCGGGAGAGTGAGGGCGAGGGTCAGGGTAGAGTCCAGGCAGAGCCCTACACGACGAGTGGGGGGTGTCCGTTGCAGGGGCTGTCCAGAAGTTACGTCACGGTGTTCAGCGAGTCCGCAGCACTAGGACATGACGCTTGCTCGTCCCTTTGTTCCAATCGCTGTGTCAAGGCACTCACTTTTCGCCCAGTTTCAGGGGCCATGTGCGAGTTTTTTTGGGGCCATTGGGGGGCGGGGTCAACTGCCCCTTCCTCCCCCGGCCCCGCGGCCCCGGCCCCACTCCCAACTGGCGGCCGCTACCCTGGGTCTGCGCCTGGCTGTTTCTCAGTTTGTTTCAAGACTGCGTCTAACGGTCACGTTATTGTCTCGCCCTCGCCCATCGGATCGGGGCCAGAATGTTCGATCATTGACCATTGCGTCCGTGGCAAATTTTCAGGCGGCCAAAATTCTATACGCGTTTTAAGCTAGCTCCAGAGTCGCTTAATGGGACTTGAACCAAACGTGTGACCCCACCAATGGATTCCTCGTTCGGAGAGCAATCCATTGGTAGGGTCACACGTTCGGTTCGAGTCCTGTTTAGCGACTCTGAAGCTCAAAACGCTTCTAGAGTTTTGGCCGCCTCCCACCGGTGTTCTGGCCCAAGGCACGTATCCAGAGACGCATGTCGCAAAAGTTACCTACCTACAGGGGGCAAAGTGCAACATTTTGCCTGCCTTCCAGGCGGCCTTCGCCGCCGCGTGCCGCGCCTGCACGGTGTAGGGGTTTCGAAAGCTCACCCAGTCGTCTGAAATGTTGCTCGTGAACTTGGCGTCGTCTGTTCCAGGTCCAGGAGAGATGGCGGAAGAAGGAGAGGCACCCTTGGCATTGGGAATCGACCTCGGCACCACCTACTCGGTGGTGGGCGTGTACCGCGGACGCAAGGCGGAGATAATCTCGGACTTCGAGACGGGGAAGCGAACGACGCCCAGCTGCGTGTCCTTCACCGACGTGGATTGCACCGTGGGGCAGGCGGCCAAGGACGTGGCCTCCATGAATACGCTTTATGGTAAGTTCAAGTTTAATTTAGGGGTTGCACAGTGGGTCAGAAGACCAGTGGAGGCGGCCAAAACTCTAGACGCGTTTTGAGCTGCAGAGTCGCTGAATGGGACTCAAACCGAACGTGTGACCCATGGATTGCTCTCTGAACGAGGAATCCATTGGTGGGGTCACACGTTCGGTTCGAGTCCTGTGTAGCGACAGCTTTAGAGCTCAAAACGCGTCTAATTTTTGGCCGGCTCCACTCCACGAGTCTTCTGGCTCAGCGCGTCCTGTTGAGCCCTCACCCTATCTCTCGCCCTCCCTCGCCTCCCCCTGTCTCCCCTCCCTCTGCTGTCTCCCCCCCCCCCTCCCTAGTTGGCCCTGTTTTCAAGGTGGGCGCACTTGGGCCACTCTCGACCACTCCTTGAATTTCAGTCAGAACCCATAAACCCACCTGCTAAATTTATTCGAATTTTTGGGAAGTTAAAGTCAGATATTGATCGAAATTTGGCCGCATTTTATCGAACATGATCTAAACATTCATTCAAAATTCATCCTTACTTTCAAACTTGTACCGACATTCAAGTTTGTGGTTCTAGACAAGTTTTTAGACGATTTTTCGAACTGTTTTAGATTCGAAGCGGCTCATCGGCAGACGCTACGAAGAGGTCGACGAAGAGCGCGATTTTATAACTGGTCGTTCACTGTCCGCAACGACGGCGGGATGCCCAAGTACGAGATCGAGAAGAATGGGCTTCCAGTGTCAGTGGCGCCAGAAGTGGTAATGCTCCTTTTTTTGCACGCTTTAAGTTAGTCTTACACGGGCAGCTATTTTTTTGTTAGTGCGAAAATATTCTTGAAAATTTGTTGTCACTTGAAACATTTGTGAATGACATTTTATTTTCACCACATGAAAACTATGGCAAATGTGCGTGACAACAGCAGAAATGTGGTTTTGAAATTTTCACCCAAATTTGTCGGGTTTTACGCGGAATGCAAACTGCGATTTGACAGTGTGTCCGGCCACTGGGTCTGCTGCAGGTCAGTGGCAAAGTCCTGGAGACTATGAAGGCGACGGCGGAGACGGTCGTGGAGGAGACGGTGACCAAGGCCGTCATCACCGTCCCCGCGTACTTCAGCGAGACGCAACGCCAGGCCACCAAGAGGGCTGGTGAGTTGAGCGCACGGCGGCAGTGCCCTGCACAGTGGGTCAGAAGACTGGTGGAGGCGGACAAAACTCTAGACGCGTTTTGAGCTGCAAAGTCACTAAATGGGACTCGAACCGAACGTCTGACCCCACCAATGGATTGCTCTCCGAACGAGGAATCCATTGGTGGGGTCACACGATCGGTTCGAGTCCTGTTTAGCAACTCTGGAGCTCAAAACGCGTCTAGAATTTTGGCCGCCTCCACCGGTCTTCTGGCCCACTGTGTGCCACTGGTTTTCGGGGTTTGCGTAACGGTTTCGTTATTGTCTTTTACCTATTGCAGGTGAGCTGGCCGGGCTCGAAGTAATAGACCTGCTGACGGAGCCTGCCGCTGCTGCGATTGCCTACGGCTACGGCAAGGACAAGGAGGCCGTCATCCTCATCTTCGACCTGGGCGGCGGCACCTTTGACTTGGCCGTCGTACGTATGGCCAAAAACAACCAGATCCAAATTTTGGCGTACGGCGGGGATACGCATCTCGGTGGCCAAGACTTTGACAATGCCCTGCTGGATTTTGTCATGAACGTGAGTACCTCACCGTCTCGCACCTCAGCACTTGCTGTGTGCAGCGAAGTCGGTGCATAAGACCATCCCCCTCCCCTCGCAAGGGTGGATCAAGGAACGGGATAAGAGGGGGGGGGGGGGGGCACAAGTTGCTTACCTGAAGCCCCAACGTAACTGTGGGTGGAGGCGGCCGGAATTCAACACGCGTTTCGAGCTCCAGAGTCGCTAAACGGGACCCGAACCGAACGTGTGACCCCACCAATGGATTGCTCCCCGAACGAAGAATCCATTGGTGGAGTCACACACTCGGTTCAAGTCCTGTAGCGACTACTGGAGCTCAAAACGCGTCTCGAATTTTGGCCATATCCGCCGGTCTTACCCACTGTGGCCCGCCCACCGCCTTCTCTTGCCATCCGCGCCTGTCCCCCTCCCTTGTGCCCTGTCCAAAGCACCCCAATGACTGCTCTTCGTTTGTTCCCAGGACATCAAGACCACTATGAGAATAAACATGAGAGACGAACCGGAGAGCATGCACGACCTGCGGCAAGCGTGTGAGCTCGCCAAGAGGAAGCTGAGCACCCAGCACCAAACGGACATCGTCTTCTTCCTCAACCGGATCGGCAAGGGCTACAAGAAGACGATTTCTCGATCCAAATTTGAAGAGCTCTGCATGCCACAGTTCAGGAGGGCCATCGGCATGCTTCCGGGAGTCCTGCAGCAAGCGAGGGTAAGAGGCTTTCGCGCGACAAATTTGTGGTTCTTTTGGACGGCCTTCCCTATCGCTTTGACCTGAACGCCCCCTTCTCACTCTTCCTTATTACCATCTCCACCTTCCTACGCCCTTTCTACTTCCCCTTTTCACTTTCCTCTTCCACTCTCTCCTTCCACTCCCCCTTTCCACTCTCCCCTTCCACTTTCCCTTTCCACTCGCCCTTTCTCATCTCACCCTCCACTCTCCATTTCCAATCTCCCTTTCCACCCCCCACCCCACCCCCCTTTTCGACCCTCTAACCACTCTCCCTTTCCACTCGCCCTTGCCACTTTCCCTTTCCATCATCCCTTTCCACTCTCGTTTTCCGCTCTTCCACTCTTGCTCTTCTCCACTCTTCCGACCCCCTTCACTCGCCTCTCCCGAAAAGTCAAGTTCACTTCGACCCACTCCCCCTTCTGGCGCTCTCCCTCACCGCGATCTTATTGCTTCTTTCGCGCCGCAGCTCACGAAGGCGGACATCGACGAGGTGGTGCTGGTGGGCGGCTCGACGCGCATCCTCAAGGTGCAGGCGCTCGTCCGGGATTTCTTCGGCAAGGACGCCGTCAAGTCCCTGAACCCGGACGAGGCGGTGGCGCAGGGCGCGGCCATCTGGGCAGCCAAGCTGGCGGGCCAGAAGGGCGCCAGGGACGTGGTGCTCAAGGACGTGGCATCGCTGTCGCTGGGCGTAGCCGACCCCAGCGGCATCATGGCCGTCATCATCCCCAGGGGCATGGCGCTGCCCGCCAGCGTCACCAAGACTTTTACCACCACCCGCGACAACCAGGAGGAAGCCGAGTTCAAGGTCAGTCACCGGTCACCCTACCAATTTTCTCGGCCATTTTTCGTGGCTATACTTGACTGAGGGACAGGGGGCGGGGAAGGACAGGGCACAGTGGGCCAGAA